CAGACGTGATAGCTGATTCGAACGAGTGATGTTCGACGGCGGCATCCATCTTTGTAATGTAGGCTACAAAATCTGCTTCAAAATCCCAGCGCTGTCGTCATCGTGTAAAGCCCGCCCCAACGTTTCTGATTAGTGCCTCGATTTCGGCGGATTGGAAATGAGCTTGAATGAGCTCTTTGCCAGACTAACTTTCAGAGCAAATCTAAATTTGCCAGAAGTTGTCTGGGTTTTCCCAGGCTACTGACCTCTGGCATCAACAAGGTATTTTTGCCCACAGATCTGCCGCTCACTGGAGATTTTCTCATTTTCTAACCATTCTCTGTAAACCCTATATAGATGGTTGTGCCTGAGAATCCCACCAGCTCGCCTGGCACCAACAACCATGTCACGTTCAAAGTCACTTAAATCACCTTTCTTGCCCATTCTGATGCTCAGTTTGAACTTCAGCAGATTGTTTTGACCATGTCTACATGTCTAAATGCATTGAGTTGCCATGTGATTGGCTGATTAGACATTTAACAAGCAGTTGAACAGGTTTACCTAATAAAGTGGCCGGTTAATATAACATGGTATCATGTTAATCAAATCTATTTTTGGTTATTATTATTGTTATTATATCATGCTGCTTGGTAAGCTAAACAACTAGCGTGGTGAATTTATGTTGGGCTTATTTATGATAGATAAATAATCAGCCTTGTTTTATGAAGTAGCCAAGTATAGCCATCCAAGAAAAAAGGGCTTCCTGAAGTTCTTTCCTTCTGGGAGGTCCTTTTCTGCTCCTACCTGGAGTTATGAACATATAATCGAATTCAGGACATGTAATTGTTTTGCAAACCTGGCTTGAACACTCCTTTACACTTGCAAAATGTATTGTGCAGCTCTGTTTACTGACAGCTCTGGTCAATTAAACGGCTTTTATAGTCCCTCGTATGCGATATAAAGTGGATTGTTCTGTATCTGGAAACCTTATGCGTAACGCAACGGCCCATTTCGGATTAATTTTTCAGTGGGTGGTGGCAGTAAATAAGGGAGATGTTTTTTCTCTCTGCCGTGGGGCTGCTGCTCTGGTGGTCCAGTACATTCGGTGGCAGACTCAAGATGTTCGTCTTTAGTTTTATTGTCATGTTCATGTAAAGTATCATGCAAGACGAGTGCTAATGGACCAAATTCATCACATCATGCTCAGCATGCGGACAATGGAAGTGATCTCAAAGCAGATATGATGCGCTAACTGTGTCTTTGTTCTGAGTGTGATGACTTTGGCGGTTGATGGGAGGACTAACAACCTCCAAAACACACAGCCTGGTGTCCATAAAAAGCTCCTTTCTTGCCGCAGGACTCTGGGTGACCTAAACTTGACACAGTGGGAATCTCCTTTCCTCTGTTCACCATGATAGAGACGGGTCAAATCTCCCACATGGCCATGTGACTGAAAGCACTCTTATCACCACAGCCATTTGTAGGAGTTATCGCTTGTCTACTTGGCTCTCTGATCCTGTCCGGGGCAGATCTGGATCCTCCCAGCACCGTTTGCGTCTCCGGATCTATTCGGTGTCACATTCCACTCCCTATCACATCCCTCAGGCAACAGAGCAGAGAGACATGCCAATGACTGTCTTGTGCATTATGTTCATTGTTCTGACCAAAAGCGAGGAAAGATGTGCAGCAAAGGAAATAGCAACCCAGTAGACATTACTTATGATGCTTTTGACACTTCATAAAGGGTTACTTCAGGAGCTTGACCTATTCACGAACCCCTGCACATTTTCCATTGAGAGCATGATACAGCTTCCACTGGTATACCGCATGATTTTGCATAGCTGAAATGATTCGCCATTAAATCAAAATCATAGATGTGAACATAAATGTGAACTTATTACACAAGAATGTTTTTTTGGACACCAGGATCATTCCCACACTACTGGACTGGTTTGTATTTATTTCTTGCCTGAATTCATTGAGGATTCTCCAAATTCACAGACTGTTGAAATCTGTTAAGCTTGCACCGAATGAGCGCCATTAAACATGCATTTCTGTAGACATTTTGGCCTTCTAAGTGCAAAATATCTGGTAACGCGGAGCCTCCCACTATGTGCAGTTATTCCTTTACAGCTCAGAAGACTTAATAGAGTTCTCGGCTATGTTTCATTTCAGTGTCAACTTTGTCTTAGATGTTTCTCATAAAATTCCTTTGCAAAAATAAAGCTCGACACAAATGAGACAACTGTTCACATACGGCAGGAGTACAGAGCTATAAAATGAGCTGCTCTGAAAATTGGATCTTAGAAGAATTTATTGAATAAAGCTTGAGTTATTGAAAACTAAGTGTTTATGTCGCAGACTTTGGTATTTTGCAAACCTGGGCATGATTTAAGACATTGTTTATACCTCTAATGAAACTAAAGACTCTCGTCTGAGATGAAGTATTGAACGTTATTGTTTTGAATTTGACTGATTTAAAGGGATAGTTCACCCCAAAGATGAAAATTCTGTCATCATTTACTCACCCTCAAGTTGTTCCAAACCTGTATGATTTTCATTCTTCTGCTGAACACAACATATTTTTTGAAGCAGAAAAAATAAACTCATATAGGTTTGGTACAACTTGAGGGTGAGTATATTATGACATAATTTTAATTTTTGGGTGAACTATCCCTTTAAATGTGCCACCAAGGTAAAGTTCTCTACCAAGCTAACATAGATGACATTTAGTAAAAATTTTGAGAATGACTTGGAGGTCTTAGAAGCATCAACAAAATGTTTTTCACTATAAGCCATTTTTAGCTATGTTTTCATACTATTTGTTTCATAGTTATAATATATATATATAGTAAACAATATAATTAAAAAAGCACATTAAATATATTAATTAAAAGCATTTTTTTTGTTAAAATACTAACGTGTCCAAGACTTTTGCACAGTACTATATATTCATTAAAGCTGCTGTCCGTAGCTTTTTTTGGGTTAAAAATTATCCAAAATACATATTTGATAAAATACATAACCAGCCAGTGTTCAAAACTATCTGCTTGCCTTAGCTCGATGCAAAACGGTAAGCTTGTAATAATGTTTTTAATTTTAGTGGTACTGGTGGATTTCCGCGGGAGATTCGAGCATGTCTTTGCGTCATTACGTCACATCTGTACACATAAAGAAGGAGTCTCGGCTAGTATAAGCTATATTGCGTGTGAGGATGTTGGAGGTAGAGATTTATAGCCTTTTCTCACAGCACTTGATATAATTAAACTTATCAATTTGATGGCGGATCCAGAAAGGTTCAAACGACGATCATTATCAGTGACAACTAGAGACTGCTGTAACATGCAAAAGACTTCGTTCGGACTTCGGAGTGGCGACAGAAAAAAAGAGACTGCAACCGGACCCATGCGAAAACAAGGATAATATCGGAAGGACATTACATGATGTAGTCACGCAATGCTTGCTGACGTTGTTAACATTAACAATTAGAGAACATAGTATAGCTACTTTGCACGGTTTTGCGTGAAATGATAACTTATAAGCAATTGTTAGATTTAATCAGCGCGATTTACTGCAATGTCAGAACCAGAACAAAAGTGAATGTTTCTTACTAGTTCAGATGACATTTCCCGGTGAAAATTCTTATGTTGGTCATACTTCCAAAAAGAATAATCTGTGATTCTGAATGACAATATCCACATCGGCGCGGTGACTGACAGCTGCACACTCTCCTCAAACACTGTGTTCATCCGCGCTGTGCCATGTCGAGGGTGTTGAACTACAACCCACGTAAAGTTGATAATTCCACGAATGACTGCAATTGCAGATTTCGAACAGAGATGGCGACAAAGAGGAAAAATGCCGGACTGCAGCTTTAAAAACATTTTTTTTAAATGTTTTTTTTTTAGTTAATAATAAAATAATAATATAATATATACACAAGTAAAGGACAAGTAAAAATCTTAACTGCTTTTGCCAAATCTGGAGTTGCTCAAAAGTGGAAAAGAAACAAGGGTCTATTTATATCTTACCTTATATATACCTTTGATTGATCAATGCTATGAGCCAGAACCAGGTTTTTGTGTGTGTAGATATACAGTATAAATGTTTGTTGTGTTTGTTCGTGCGCACTGACCTCATTGACTCTGGCATCTAAAGAGATATGCAACTCACATTGACATAGTTTTACTTCTTCATCTCGACAGAAATGAGACAACATATCATTTATTGCTACAGGATTAATGTCCTGCACACAGTATTGCATGACGCTTACTCTTCAGCGCAACAAATAGTTGTGACTTAAATACAACTGTTTGTCTTTCTCTGTTTCAGGAACTCCAGTAAGTACCCCGTTATCACTGAGGCTTTAATTCAGAACAAATGTGAGTTAGTCTGGAGTTGGGCAGATACGGCATGGCATGATCCGTGTTGGCTTTGCTACCTTGATATAGACTGCAAAATGAGGTGAGATAAGAGGGAAGGGAGGATATATGCTCCAGGAGACACACTGAATCGATCACACTCCATTTTTCACTGTCTGGCATCCATCCTGACCGCCTGTATCCTAATAACCAGACGTGCCTTTAAAAATCCAACAGCTGATACAAATCTCTTCATGCCTTTGCACAGAATGCATAGTAAACACTAGTACATGTTCAAGTGTGCATGTGTGCAATCCTCCCTATCATACTAACACTGTAGCAGCACAACAATCTTTTATTGGTTTGGTTGCATCATATTTCTCAACATGAGCAGAAAGCCACAGTAATAAAGGAGAAGAGAGAGTAAATATGCATGGTTGCCCCAAACACGTTCCATGTTTTATGAGCTATTTGTCACACAAGTAGTGTTTATGTATTGCAAACACACTGTTAAAGACAACAATGCAGTATGGAGCACTTTGTACTTGTAGCATATTTGGGGGTTTTGGGATGTGAACAAATTTTTTATTATTATTATAAATTCAGATTTTTTTGTTTTAATTGTAATGTTTTTTTCTTCAATAAATCCTAACAGGGCATTCCAGGACGAGATGGCTACCCGGTAATTGTCACTCTGGTTATACACTAATCACATCTGCTCTATAACCACAGGCACCTACAGTACTTGAGGACTCGTTCAGACCGCTGATAGGCAGTGTTAAGTGTCGTAGTGCACCACCTGCTGGACATATAAAAAAATATCCAAACAAGGTTTTTTAGTTTAAAGGTCAATACAATTCATCAAATGAAATGAAACATCTGATTTATCGCATACATAAACCTGTTGATGCCAAGAAGCTTGTCCTTGGCTTACATTTTGAGTAAAACAGGTTTTGTTGGGGTTAGATGGGCAAAATACATCAAGATAATTTTTTTCACAAAGGTTTTCATATGGTATATGTAATGGGACTTATAGAATTGTATGCATATACAATGTATTACTATCCATCTATATGCATAACCTACCTATTAAACATGATCCTCAAACTTCAGAAAGATTAGTTCAAATTAATTTTACTTACTAATATCAAATAAGCTAATTTAATCACATCAAATCTTATTTGAATAAAGTTATTATTATATAACAATAGTTATTCTCAAATGCAGTTATTAACCTCTACGCCTACACAAATCTTACAGAACAGAGAACTATTGTTCTTTCCAATAGTTTTGCTTTTAAAAGAGGCATTAGTTGCGTGAAGCCTCCCTGACAGGCCATCGCAATCCAGATGCGATCAGTTGCATGCGTTGGCAGCCTCCGCTCCGCATAAAGATCAACTGGGAAATATAGCCCTGTGTGAAGTCTCTCCAAGCATAACAAGAGAGCTGCTCCGAACTGAACCGTGTGCAGGACTGCACCACATGTGGCCCTTACCGGATTTCCAACTGCACTCAGAACCATCAGCACACAAGTCATCCGTTTCTTTTTGCTCATGCCGAATAGACCGACTGCATGCTCTCTTGTCACTTGTCCGTTCTGAAAGCACAAGCACACACTATTAGACCAAGACAGACAGCTCTATTGTCTGTGGTTTCTGGCTGTGTTGGTCTGAATAAAGACACACAGGGAGAGAATGATCAGAAATCTGTTTATCATTATATATATATATATTTTTTTTTTTGGGGTCTAATTTTACAGTGTGTATACAACGTTATGTTGACACATTATTTTAATAGCTATTGCATTTAGAGCTACCAAGCTTGTTTTACATTTATCATGACCGTTTGCTTTAGAATTTTTTTTGCAATCAGAAAGTGTAGCATAATTAGTTTAGTTAAGTATGTTTCACAGGTCAAAGAGCTCTGTGCACAGACCCCTTTCAGCACCTTCAGTGCCATGGACAGCGACCTCCCGTCCTCTAGTCTGAGCTTACTGAAGCCAGTGATGATGATGGACTAAACTTGTCCTTGCTCTAATCAATTATAACAGGGGTCAAATAATTATTCTATCATTTTTAGTTAAGACTCCACCAAAGATAAAGTTAAGAAGCCATATTTTTGCTAATTATTTCATTGTCCTTTCCACATTAAAATGTGAATTAGGTTAAAGGTTAAAAAAATTGGTTAAAAAAATAAAAATTAACCCAATCTATTTTCTGAATGCATGTCGCTGAACGTATTCTAAACGATTCATCCATGCATACGTTTTAAATAATTATTTCATAATTTTTAATCAAAATGTCAAAACTTCTCCAATCATTTAGTCAGTTTAAACTCCGCCCCTTTCTTACAATCAAGTGCAGGCTCACATTAAGATCTGCCTCCATCCAATCAACAACCGATTTGTTAAAACAAAGTCCCTGCCCTAGACCTCCCCCCGCCCCCTTTTGATCATTCATTTCACTCGGATATACGTCACAATATGGAAGAAATAAACGAAAGAGAAAATTAAAATCTAATGCACAAGTTTATGATTTCCATGAAATAAATGTAATAACTCAATGTCCTTTTCTCTCTCTGTCTCTTTAAGGGTCCATTGGGTATGGATGGCAAGCCTGTAAGTACTATTTTCTCTCAGGGTACAGTTTTTTAAACCAGATCATATTGCATCAGATCAGTTTTTAACATCATTGGTTTAATTCCACTTATACTGTTTGTACTAGGAGTGTATATTTATTGCTGTATTGCATACACTGCTCATTATACTGCAGAAAATTAACTTCTCTCTCCTTATAGGGACCTCCAGGACAAAAAGGCAGTCAGGTTAGGTTCTTTATCATTTCAGTCTAAAAAGTGATTTAATTATTGTGTGTTGCCACCCGTGTTGTGGAAAGTTACTTTTAAAAGTAATGCATTACAATATTACGTTGTTCCCTAAAAAAGTAACTAATTGTGTTATTTCGTTACTTTTTATGGAAAGTAATGTGTTACATTACTTTAGCGTTAAATGTTTTCTCACCTGGGCTGGGCTTGCTTGTTTGTGTTAAAAAAAATGTATCTATTTTTGGCAAATGTAAATACCCTTTCACACCAAATGTGAAATGAATGAGCCTCAGACTGAAATAAATGCAAATTCACACCTTTACTGTAGAGGGCACAGTTAACAAAAAACCCGAAGATTAGGATGCAGGAGAAGAAAGTTCAACACGCTTAATTCAGCAATACAAAGAAAAAAAGAAAAAAAAAGAAACACAAATGTGATGTTTATCGAAAGTCTTTTTTGCTTATTAGTATGGTTGAAATGGATCAACGAAAATCAGCAGGAAAGACATTGGTTAATAAAGTGAGATTAAATACATAAAGTATATTTTTGTTATTTAACATTTAATTATTGCATGTTTGTGTAATATTCTGAGTTCGCATTTCACTGTTTTTATTAATTTTGAGTTATACTGAATCTGTTTTTGTGCAAGTCAGATGAGTAAATGCCTGCTCACATTTAGTCTAGAACTACAATAACCATCATGTTCACACAGCGCACACAACGCCTCTGCACTTACTCACGATTTCACTCAACATGAGGAGAGGCTTCAGTCTATAATGGGAAAACAAAGTAACTTGCGCTACTTATTTGAAAAAGTAACTCAGATATTTTGTTGTAAATATAAAAGTAACGTGTTACTTTACTAGTTACTTGAAAACGTTAATCTGAGTACGTAACTTAAGTTTCTTGTAATGCGCAACATTGGTTGCCAGTGTGCAATGCATCTTAGATTCTAGGGATGCACCGATACCACATTTTCCAGAACGAGTCCGATGCGATACTTTAATTTTTGGTACGTATAACGTATTTCACCGTATAACCGATACCTGTATTTTCACTGCATTTGTAATTTTTAAATGTATTGGTAGAGAAACCAAAAGAATATAAATCATATTAGTTGGCTTAATTTGTTCATCAAATAAATATTTCCTTCAGTTATTTTCATGCTTAATTAGCCTGCTAAAATGCATTGTATGAGCTTCTTTTACTTTCACTCTTCATTCTATTGCTCTATCATATTTTATCTTTCATTTAATGGTACAGCACATATTTAGAGCAGCTCCAGCAGGGCTCAGTGCTGAGGATTGGGTCAGTGGTACAAATGTTTAGACACCAGTGAAATATCAATTATTAATTCCAATTTTGATACAACAAAAATCTTTTTGTAAAGTTACAAAAGGTAGCCTATTTAGTCAAGAGCAGTGAGTAATTTATTTGTCCTTTGTTTGATTAAAGCTACAATATGTAATTTTTTTCGCAGCCAGGGGTTGCTAACCTCTTACAATAACAAAGGCATAGGTTGATGACGCATAAGCGGAATTATGGAACTTGTCGTCATGCTGATAGATCTAATAATGTTTATGGATGAGTGAATACAGTGATGTTTTTAACACGACTGTGGTATGAAGCAGGTCGCAATTGCTAATGAGAGACAGATATCAGCAGCGCCACATACGAGTCCCGCGGATATAAAGGAATAAGGACATTTAATTCTACCGAACTACTCGCAAGTGCTGAATTAATACTCACACAGGTCAGTTTATTAGACAAATGAAACTTGTGAGGTAACGCAGCGCTGTTTCACTTGGTCTACACTATCACACTAAACTGCATTTGAGGCTGCTGAAAGTTATAATGTTATTCTATGTGTTAGTTTGTCTGTATGAGACTAGCAGGGTTGCCAACTTAAGAAAAGAAAAAATCAATCGTGGTTCTTTACAGGAAAATATGGGACACTCAAAATATTTGTACTGGATCACACAGTATGTCATTTCAGGTTCGTATGTGTTTAAAAGGTTCTCAGACATAAACACATTTGTTTTGCTTAACATATTTATGTACAATTTAATTCTAAAACAAATTTTAAGGTCACACAAAAAAGTCACATTACACACAAACCATAGTTCAAAATAATAGCATTTATCTGAAAAGCTTTTGTAACATTATCCACTACATTTTAAAGAAATTAAAGAAAGTAATAGCCTACTTTTATTCAGCAAGGACCCATTAAAGTAATCAAAAGTGACAGTAAAGACATTTATAATGTTACAAAAGCTTTTTTTTTTTTTTAACCTTCTATTCATCAAAGAATCCTGACTTTAAAAAAAAAAACACATTAATAATAATCAGAAATGTTTCTTGGGCAGCAAATCACATCAGCATATTATTCCCTCAGGAAGATTTCATGTTTTCTTGCTCGTGAACAATAATCACTTTGTTTGAATTCACCAAAACTGATTTGCTGAAATCAAAACCAAGACAGTGAAAGGGATTTGCCGTTAGCGCGAGTCCGGATCGAACCGGGAGGATTCTGGAGTCCGGATCGAACCCAGAGGATTCTGTTCGCAAATCAAACAATGATTTGTCCCAAAAGATATTAATTCTCAATTTAGAGTTTGTTATTCGCATGGTCTGATGCGCGTGAGTGTGAGCTGTGATTGGATGATGACCGGTGTCGTGATCATTCTCAAGTGTCGTGTTAGATCAGCGTAGCAGTCTATTTAATCGGGACATGGGAGGTCCCGTACGGGACAAATAAATTAGGCCCAAAATACGGGACGTCCCGGCTAATTCGGGACAGTTGGCAACCCCAAGTAAGCTAGATCAACATTAGAAAGACATACTGATCATGTTGAGCTATGTATAATATTGATTAGTTTTATGTACATTTGCTCACCTGTCTAATAAAGTACATGCAAGAGTGGCGTCTCTGCATGTACAAAACGAAGTTTGTCACGGACGTGGAGCTCTCGGCATCTCGAAAACACCACGCTGATATTGATTCTCGTTTTAGTTCTCCTTTTGTCCCAAAGTCTGCATGCCATGGTCCATTATGTTTGAACGAAACAACAACAGCGCGAGCGTGCCGCTAGACATTACACAGTTGTCCACGACCGTCGCCATGGCTACTATGGCAGTACGAGTGGAAACCAGGTTCAACGCGGATATTACGTCATTGACAGGTGACAAGTGAACATGGACGAGCCATTATTTAAAATTGGAATTTCTCTGAAATGAAAAATCTTTGGGAACTTTTGGGATATTGTAAGAACACAACTGCAGGAAATATATCACACTGTGCAAGTGATTTTTGGATATTTTATTACAAAAATCTTACATATTGTAGCTTTAACATTAAAACACAGCAGCAGGTTTATTAGACTGCTGCCCCTTTAAGTCCGAACGCACGGACCTCATTTGAATATACTGTCAGTCTACGTTGCACTCATCCTGTAATAATGTAGGTAATCAACCGTTATACATAAATCAGGTAACAGTTCATGTTTTACTTACATATACGATTTAGTTTTAATTCAAATAACACGTGAGTGAACGATCAGCAATCAAGAGCATTCAACAGAAGTGCTCTCTCTCTCTCTCTCTCTCTCTCGTAAGCTACATGCCTCGTTTGACTTTTTTTGCCATTGACATCTTCCTTTTTTATCTTTGACATAGACAGCTTTCTTTTTTAATTTTGGAAACAGTTCTTAAAAGTAAGTTAACACTTTATTTTGATGGTCCCCTTTAGACATTCTGTTGACTATAAGTAACGTTGCACCTACATGTTAACTAACTCTCATGTATTAGTATATCAGTCTGCTTAATGTCTGCTAACACTTTATTGTGAAGGTCCTCCATCCTAACCTGAGCCGGACAGTAACAGAGTACATTTACTTGAGTACAGTACTTAAGTACAATTTTGAGGGATCTGTACTTTACTCGAGTATCATTTTTGGGGAGTACTCATGACTTTACTCAAGTACATTTGAGAGGCAAATATTGTACTCTTTACTCCAATACATATCCATAACCTGTACCCGAGTAAAAAAAAAAAAAAAGAAAAATCTCGGAAACCCTCAATTTGTTTTTTCCCTCTCAAACGTGATTGGATTGTGCAGGCGCCACTGATTGGGACAGCCTATCAGCAATCACTTTCAGCTTTCCGCCAAAGTCAACTCCATGGTCAGATTTTATATTACACATTAATGTAAGCCAAGCATTTGGTTTGATGTTCTTGAGTATGTGGTGTGTTTAACACAGTCAGGTTCAAATGTGGCAGTGGCGTAGCCACGAGGGATTTCTGATTTCTTAAAAAAATATATTTTTACTGATTATGTGAATTACACTGCGCAAACCAAAGTAGGCTACTACCCAGCGAATGAAGAAGGGTTGGCGCTCAGTCTCCACAGTACATAAAATATTAATTTTGTTTTATTTTATTTTTCGGGTTTGCATTTATGAGTAAAAAACAATGTTATGGACGTGTTCTCCGTTACGGACGTGAGCGCTCTGAAAGCGGCATAAAAAATGCTTTAAAACTTTCACAGAGACATCAAACAGAAAACACAAAACCTTTCTTTAACCTGAATTTCGTTTTGCATTAATTGTATCTTAATTTTAATCAATGTTTCATCAACCAATTGCCTGGGTTTAATAAATAAGAAGTAAATAGCAGACGATAGATAAGAAACGGAGGCGCCGGCACATGAACTGTGTCTCGTCTCATAAATGAACCTAAACTCAGTGTATAAGATAGCCTACTTGCCTCTCACAGACATGTCTACTTTTAAACAAAAAAATTCAAAACGAAAGAAAACAGACTACAGACTGCTCTCTGCTTATGTAATCTGTATGAAATGTGCATTTCTCTCTGGCGCGTTCACTACTGAAGATCGCGAGTCAGCATCATCAACTTCATCTAGCCGACACTGACAAAGAAAACACTTGTTTATTAACAAGTGTTTATTAATAAACAATTAAAATATATCCTTGCTATATTTTACATATTCATAATCATTCCTTTTGCCGGTTCTTTGTGACAGCTTTTAGGTGCTTTATTGGCAGCGCCACCCTTACATGTGGTGTGTGTGTGTGTGTGTGTTGTCCCCGCATTTAAAGATGGGACCCCCCAAAAATTTTATTAAATTAAATAAAGCAACATGGTAAAAAGATGAAAATGACTTGATTTTACTTTCAATTCCTTTTACATTCTCCAAGGTATTAACATTAACATTTTTCATAACTCCATGTAGGACGTTTCTGTGCATAAATGTAAGCACTGTGGCAGTAGATTAGTAATGCAATATTTAGAAAATCTACTCTTGTACTCTTGATACTCAAGTACTTTTAAAAACAAGTACTTTAGTACTTTTACTTAAGTAGACATCTGAATGTAGTACTTTTACTTGTACTTGAGTAAAATTTAGCAAGGGGTATCTGTACTTTTACTCAAGTAACGAAGCTGTTAACTCTGTCCGCCTCTGATCCTAACTGTAAGTAACTTTGCAAGTACATGTCAATTTATTTAAGAAACCCTAATCCCTTATTCTACTAACCGTAACCCTACCCCTAAAAGTCTATTAATCAACTAATAATCTAATGAGAGTTAGCTGACATATAGGTCAATGTTTCTTATAGTCAACAGTCTTGGGGACCGACAAAATAAAGTCTAAGTCTAATTTCTAATACAAATTAATTTAATTACATATTTAAAGCTGCAGTCCGTAACTTTTTTGGTTTAAAAAATATCTAAAATAATTTTTTGAGCAAGTACATAAATAGCCAGTGTTCAAAACTATCTGCTTGCCTTAGCTCGATTGCACAGTTTGACGTGATATAAGCGATCATTAGATTTAATCAGCGCAATTTACTGCAATGCTTTTTTCCCTTAGTTGGTCAGAACAAAAGTGGATGTTACTTACTTGATCAGAAGACATTTTCCGGTGAAATTTCTTATGTTGGTCATACTTCCAAAAAGTAGAATCTGTGATTCCGAATGACAGTATCCACACTGTCGTGGTGACTGACAGACGCACATTCTCCTCAAAACATTGGATTAATCCGCGCTGTGCCGTGCCGAGGCACAACCCACGTAAAGTTGATAATTTCGCGAATAACTGCAATTGCAGATTTCGAACAGAGATGGCGACAAAGAGGAAAAATTACGGACTGCAGCTTTAAACACACTAATTATTGTATTTCATGATTATATATTGTATTTCAAAGAAAGATGTAATTTATTACCATTACTAAAAACACCAGCCAAAACGAGATAAACTGAAATGCATGGCTTTTCAACACTACTTCTCTTTACAAATTTGAAGGCTGCTTAGTGGCTGATTTAATCAGGGACAGTAAAGGTTATATTTTGTGACTACACATTACAGAGGACTTACCTACTGGCTTTCTGGCTTGGTACAACCAAATTAAGTACCGCATTAGTTACAAACTAATTAGTAGTTACTAAGAACCCACTTGTGGTCTTTACTTAACAAATTTAATTGACTTTACCAATGGCTAGTGCAATCATACCCAGTTCTCTTGTCCTCCTCTTATACTCATATATGTGTTTACATGGGGAGGCCAGGCAGGGCCTCAGTATCACTGTTGTGGGAGAAATGAAGTGGCCAAAGGCCTCTTTTAAAACCCATTCGACGGGTAAACATTGGAGCAATTAATTGCTCAGAACTGCACACAAGTTGGGTGAAGCACATCAGTGAAACACCAACAGCTTTCGCCTATTATGTCCAAGTTTAGAGTCACTGGTTTAAAAATCACACTCAAGAGGATGGATGTTTTCTTGCTAAAAGCAGAAGGGCACTTTAGTCGAGTGTTTACTTGAAGGACCATTGAAGATTAAAGAAAAGAGGGGCGAGTTTTTGACTGGGCACACATGAAGAAGAGGGTCTGCATAAACCATTTTACATAACAGGAGAGATGTACAACATCTCAACCTTATGTAAATGTTCTCCATGTGTTAAGTCAGAATCATCTAATGTAGCTTCTCCATCACAATCATAGCATCAGAGGATGAAATCAAGTGAATTATTAAGTGCCATCATTGTTGGGTCCAACATTAACAACCTCTAATCCAGTCCACATTTTACAGCATATCCTGGCATATAATGATAAAACTCCAGTCCGCTTTAAAAAGATCAAAGGTGACAAAAACTCTCCCAAGATTCATGCTGTACCATTTTGTAACTGTCCATAAATTCATGTTTTGAGCTCAAGTTAACATTAAGTGCACTTAGGACAAGAATCTAATTTTTAACATACTTTGAACAATACCAAGACAACACTACACTGACTACTGTGAAGAAGCTCTTATGAAACAGCACACAAAATTACAGTGCTTGAAAAGCCATAGTGAACACGACACCACAGAGTATGATGAAACTGTGATAATCAGAATGTGTCTTGTTTTTGTGGTCTTAAGCAAAGTTTCCTGCATGGACCGCTGAGCAGAATAAAACCAGAATAATATCATCCATTCCCTCAAACCAGCTGCCCACTCATGAAATAAAAGCTCTTATGTAAAATTATATATGCAGAAATATTTGCTGTCATCAAGAATGGAATGTCATCACATTGTTTTATCTTCACTATTCGAAATCCCTCTCTTCATATTTTGTGATAAATTATTGTTTTTCACTTAGCCAGTAGTTCATTCAAACACTCAGATTCAACCTCTAAAACATCTGCCAGTCATTTTTGAAGGTGTAAGTGGTGTGACTTGTGGTTTGCAATGGAAATATCCTGCATTGTTGAGAACAATTTCTAATCTGTCACTTTGAATCTTTCTCTTCTTTTGCCAGGGAATGCCAGGACCAAAAGGAGATAAGGTATACTCACCCCACAACACATTCCAGCATGATAAATGTACAATTTATTGGAGCCATCAAGCATAACAATGATAATATTGCTCTAACTGAAGCATTTTGAGCCTGTTACCCAATGAGATAAAAAGAAACTCATAAGTAAGTGCTAAGGGTTGCTCTCTCCACAGGGTGACCAGGGAGACATGGGACCCAGGGTGAGTGTCACGTCTCATTTTTTTTGCTCAGTTTCTTCAGAAGTCTGAGTTTACAGAGATTGCACTGATCTAAGGATGCCTCTTGACCTGGAAGTCAATTTAAGCCGTTTCCTTTCAGATGACAGGGCTTGGTTGCTATCGGTCTTACAATTCTGATGTTGATAGAAGTTAGATCTTAATCTGTTAAACTAATTCATATTACAACCTCAATATGGTATCAATCACTGTCTGTATGCCTCCACAAAGCCTGTTTTCACCTCATCCACAGGGAAAAAAGCGTGAGCCTTGACAAATCAGGAATCCGTCAGTGAAGATCGTACCACTTTTCTATCTATATCTACTCAAGCTATCATTTAAATTATTTGGCTCCCCGTGCTTCTTTTTCACCATACCTCATGACCATTCAGCACAATTAGAAACATGTGCTTTGGCTGCTCTCTTTTTTATGTTAAGAACATGTGTTGTATGCACTACATTGTTTTTGCTTTACGCCATCACAGTCTGACAGTAAAAAAATGAACCAAATCATTTGAAGTGGCGACATGAGCAGTCAGGAAAAGGAAAACAGCATCTCCCATGGGCCGTGTTCCTCTTTTTGTGTGGATGTAAGAGTCAAATTAGCGCTTTTTCAACTCCAGTTAAGCAGGAGGAGTTTGACCCCTTGGAATCCATTAAAGCTCTCATGGGACGATGGCCCCTTGACCTGGAAGTCGATTAAAGCCGTGTTTCCTTCCAGATGGCAGGACTAGGGTTTGTAGTGCAGGTGGATAGTTGACCTTATGCTTACTCTTGAATTTTGACTTTTGCCCTATGCCCAGACACAGAAGAAGCAGATCCGACTCACAAAGTAGTCTTTGTGTCATCGGAGGTAGCTGAGAAGAATGTCCTGCAAAGTCCTGTGTAGGGTTGTGATGTGCTCCATTCAGAATTGAACTGAGAATACTGTTTAAATTCCAGTTCGGTTCCTGAATTTGAATTGAGGTTGCAAACAGGATGCAGAATTGCAATGAATTGAAATTTAAAGAAATTCTCATAACACATTTTAATTAGAAAAGCCAAGTTAGTCTGAGAAACTTTGAATGTTGACTTGACAAAGACGTATTTGAAAGTTCTGGGGAAAAGTCTGAGAAGTCTTGAAGTTTGAAGGTTTATAGTCAAGGCCTTACTGATATATTGAGATCATAGCATAGACTTGCCACCCAGAAAATCTCTAAAAACAACATAGAAAAAGCTCAGAACACCCAAGCAACAAACTATAAACTACTTAGAAACTGCATAGTAATATCTCAGAAACAATGAACATCAACTTAGCATCATGGCGGCAAGTTGTGCTTGGGCAAGTACCTGTTTTCTGCTTACAGTGCAGAAATCTAGGCATGCTGTGGTTGTTCTCGACACCATTTCAGTACAGTTCTTGCAGAGTACGTACCTTGACAATCTGTGAGAAAGGAAAATCATGAAAAAGTTTCTCCAGGGAAAAAGCAGCCTTTCTTCATGAATGCATTGCAGACCTATCTAACCGCAACTCTAAACATAAACCTCATCACCATGTGCACCCATTGAAAGTTAATCATATCCAGAAGGTGTATGGGCTTGGTTTCTTAAAACAGAAGAATAGCCAGAATAACTTTCACAGGATTCAATTTCAAGTTGAAGCTCAGAATTACAATGTGAGATGTCATCACCCTCCATTATATGTATCCTAACAGTGTCATTCTCCGAATCATCTCCTCTTTCCCCCTTACGTCATTTCCTGCCTCTGTTTTCTTCTATATGACCTCTGACCTCCCAGGGACCACCAGCCTACGCTGCCTCTGCAGGCCTGCTCAGTAATCAGATTCTCACGGTTAAGGTTTGTCCCTCTCAGCCTATCATCCCTGCATCTCCTGACACATGTGGCCATCCTTGTGTGCCTTCATACCTTACTCTATTTCACTATTTTTTTTCCCACTTCTCCTTTGTTCCCACAACCCCTTATGCTGAGAGAAGACTGTCTGTTTCTCCAGCTGTGATTACTGGCATCCCTGCATTGTTTCTTATGCACTCGGTCCATCTTTCTCATTATCCGTCCTCTGCTTGTCAGATGGTCTTCCGTTGCTATGAGCATGGCTTTCTCTCGGCTACAGCTGACCATCACACTTTTCACAGGCGCCTTCTAAAGGTAGAGCCAGACTTGTGCATGCCTTGCTGCTTTTCTCATTTTCTCCATTTCTTTGGTGTCCTTGTCCTCAATTAGCAGATCTGGCAGTTTACAATGTTGTGTTGCATTCCTGCTTTGAATTTCAAACAGAGGGTAATTGTTGTGTTTATTGACAATAGTGACGAAAACAAGTTTGCTAGACCACAGCAAATAATCAAGCCAAAATAGCTTTTCGCATTTTTTTAGCAGTAGTGTCTTGCATTATCTTAGTATGTTAAACGAGACAATGTTTGTGAGGAACAAAATACATTTCTTTACAGATAGCTCTTTGAAGCTTTGGCCCCAGAAGCATTTTACATGCTGCATCTGAATACCGAAACCAATCTTTCGGTATGAAACATGTAACATAATTAGTCTGCAGGCAAAGTAAATGGCCTATTTGAGTAACGTCAAGACTGGGGAGATCAGAAGCAACAATGAAACTCTTTTCAAAGACAATATTCAAAATTACTTGTTCCGTTTCTCTTTCTGCAGGGTGATCAAGGTCAGGCTGGTCCCCCAGGACCTCCAGGAACACCTGGTCCCAGAGGGCCTCCAGGAAACACAGGCAAAGATGGGCCACAGGGCCACCCAGGAGAGCCGGTGAGACACTTGCTTTCTATCTCACATGGTCTCTTGTGTCTGTGTCTTTACTGAGCTCACTCATTCTACAGCTGTTGCGTCTCATATATGAGTCACACTGTGCTGACAACCCCTGCTCAGAAGACCAGGTGCAGCTTCTCACTGAGCTGAACCCTGTGCACAGTGTTGGGTTCAGACACACTGCATTTCCTTCTACACTTGCGTTCTTGGCAGATGCTCCTAAATCAAAGTGACTTGGTTTAAATATGCACAAATTGTGTAGGACAGGTAGCTGTAGAATACAATTCTACACGTGCAATGGTTGCTATGCATTCTGGGGTTTATTAAAATATTTGACAACAAATTTGAGCAATATTAATAGTGATGCTTGCTTTTAGAATACAGAATAGCAGTTGTTTTATCATAAATCATCAGGGTGGGGAGGGGCGGGGGGACCGTATCGTGAGAACACTCATTTAAACCGCATACACACTGGGACATTTGACTGCACATCCCATTTTTGACAATATTGATAGTACTTGCAATCGTAATGCAAAAGGCCGTTCTACGGGACATAAGCCTTTAAATAAAAGGGTTATTAAACTGTTTACACTGTCACACAATAAAACAGCCTGCACAGCAACAGGGAATGTAAAAAAATTAACAAAAAGCCTGCCTGCTTGCAAAACACCGAAGGTGGACTTGCGCTCAGGAGAAGAGTGGATGAGTTCTTTCTACGCGCACTGCTACGGTCACAATATGACATCACACTCTCCGCGTAAGTTTTAAAAAACTTAAAGGGGTGGTTGATTATGATTTCACTTTTCTAACTTTAGTTTGTGTGTAATGTTGCTGTTTGAGCATAAACAACGTCTGCAAAGTTACAACGCTCAAAGTTCAAAGCAAAGGAAGATATTTGCTTTTTAAGGATAATCGTTTTTTAAGGACTACAACAAACAGCTGGTAGGAACCAGAGCAGAAAGAGTTGCGACACTCCCATAGACCGCCATAGGAACTTTGGAATGCGGAAGTAACGCGTGTCGTGGAGCGGCCAATAGTTCCAAACACTGATAGTTTCTCCATTGAGCCCCATTCATTTTCAGTGCTTCAGAAGTACGTTCGCTGGTAAATTAATGAAATTACTGTCTTTTTTTACTTTTTCACACATTAGCCGACCTCTCGTGAATCTAGTCTGTAGTTATATTTTATGTAGCCAGTTTTAGTAAATGTTTATTGGAAGATAATAGGTTAATTGCAGCGATAGCTTACGTGACCAACACTTCACTAACGTTAGCTAACTGGTAACCTGATGTATATAATATATAATATTTTTAATAATATTTTATATGTATATATATATATATATATATATATATATAGCCTATATATAATATTATATACATACACACACACACACACACACACACAACTCATTTATTTAAATGGGTTAGGGCTATGCATATATGTGCTTATATGTATTTAGGAACATAGTTAATTCACTCATTAACTATCTCTCCGGTTTAATTTTATGAAGCATCTTACAACAGTTCCCACACGAGCGATATTATAGATTATCATGATGACAGAATATGCTAATTGAAGATAGTTAACTCCACATCAGCAACATAAATTCATCAACTAACCATTCAGAAGCGTCCTGTTGCATTCTACATATTGTCACTTCTTTTCGAGTCTCTCCATCATTGTCCGACTTCAGTTTAAACATAAAAGGCTGAACAGTTTCTGACATTTTAGTGTCTCCTTAAAGGTCCCCTGACATGAAATTTTCACTTTCTGAGGTTTTTTAACATTAATATTAGTTTCCCTAGCATGTATTTGGTCCCCTCGTGTCTAGAATTTTCAATCGGTGTAAACCGAGCTTTGGCTGTTTTTCTCTTCTCTGCAGCTCAGACGTGCTGATCTTGAATCTCCTCGTTATGACGTCATAACGAGGAAAGTTTACCTCTCCTTTCTCTGCTTTGCCCGCCCGGAGAATTTGGCTCCAGTGTTGCCAACTTAGCGCCTTTATCGCTATTTTTAGCGACTTTTCAGACCCCTTTAGCGACATTTTTTCAAAAAAGCGACTAGCGACAATTTTAGCGACTTTTTGGACAAACCTCAGTAACCTCCAAATGTTGCCAGTACTGTCCTGCGAGCGCGAGGTCTTGCTTTCTCCCTGTCGTCACTCTCTCTAGCTGCGTCTCCTCTGTTCAGTGAATGGCTGAGAGGAGCGCACGGCCGCTGACAGACGCGAATGAGCAGTGTTTTTCCATGGACTTATCACTTATCTGCTTTTCTTTTGTTTTATATTTAAATAATTTAGTTTGACCATTTTAATTTTATTTATTTTCTTGTGCTTATTACTTGTAACACTATCACAGAGCTTAGTTCATCCGGTTCCCTAACTCTCTCAATTCAAATAATGTTCCATATAGGACTATAAAAAATGTAATCATTCACTATATTATAGCTACTCGTTCAATTGTCTGACAACAAAAAAATAGGAAATGAGAACAGCTTTATTTGACATTCGGCTATATTATATTGAATAGAGCATTAATTTAGAGAGAAAACGCACTAGGCTGATAGAACGCAAGTACGACGCGATGACGTCATTAATATGCTAATTGACGTATGACGTCATCTAGCGACATTTAGCGACTTTTAGGGAAGGCCTTAGCTACTTTCCTTTGAAAATAGTTGGCAACACTGTTTGGCTCGCCCATGAGAAAACGAGCTAGGAACAGGAAGTACGAACGCGTCGGCGCGATTTTGGTTTTTCCTAGAGAAATAGCTTTGAGATTTGAGTTCCCTTTCGTAGTCACTCCGAGTTACGTCGGATGACGGAGAATGGGGGTTTCGCCAGAAAGCCAATCCTCTTCGAGTATTAAAAAACGAGCCAATGGCAAAGAAATGCCATGGGTCTGCGGAATTTGCATAATGTATCTCCGCCCCACCGCGTGGGTATTTAAGGAGAGACACCTGCAACAGCAGATCATGTTTTCGCTTCGGAGCCAAGAGAACCTCTTCACTCCACAGCCACAAGACCTGAGTTTACAAGTGACTCACCTCTTCGAGACGAGCGAACTCTCCAGTGTTGGTGTGACGGCGGTACCCAGCGAGTCTTCACATTGCCTGCGATCTGTGCAGTGGTCTGCCTGACTTTGTGTTTTCTCCCTGGTCGCCTCAGCATTGCAGAGTTTTTCCTCTCCTAAAAGAGCTGCACGTGGCACGTCTTTTTAAAGATGTCTCGCCCGTGTTCTTCTGGTTGCGGTCGATATTTGTCATCTTCTGATGGGCACGAGCGCTGCTTTGTGTGTCTGGGCTTTGAACACGCTAAAGCAGCGCTCGTGGATGACTCATGTTCCTTCTGTGGGAACATGGCCATCGCAACACTAAGATTAAGACTCAATGATCTTTCAGTGAGAGTCCCCGCGTCCACCACCCGTTCTGCTTCCTCCACGAGAGGTGGTAGTTCGGCTGGGGGACAGGGTGATCTGAGGGTGACGGTGTGGAGCAATCCGACGATGCGTCCTCGGACCACGCCCCCCTCCGCTGTGTTGCGACCCGCGAGTGCCGCGGTGACTCAGGCGGGTCCTTCTTCGGAAGCCCCGCATGTTTCATTCGGCGCTCCAGAGGATGACACGATGTCGATCGCGGCATCACAAGGTGGGCTCGAGTCTTCGGGAAGTGAGGATGCGGCTGCGTTGCCTCCTTCGGGAGTCCCAGCGTTGCCCGTGTCGGATCCCGAGATGACAGCCATGACCAAGACCTGGTTCTCCGAACTGATACTCCTCGCGACAGCACCTCCTTGGCCAATTCCTCTGAGGAAGGACCTCCTTTCTCAGAGACATGGCACCCTCGTCCCAATCTTTGGAGACTCCACGTGTGGCTCCTGGACGGGACGAGGCAGGTTTGAGTACCCTGCCACCAGCGGTGGCGGCTACCATCACTTCCGCTAGAGCATCGTCCACGAGACATGTCTATGCGTTGAAGTGGAACCTCTTCGTTAACTGGTGCTCTTCTCGCCGAGAAGACCCCAGGAGATGCTCGATCAGTGTTGTGCTTTCCTTCCTGCAAGATGGGTTGGAGCGAAGGCTGTCTCCCTCCACCCTGAAGGTGTATGTGGCCGCTATCGCCGCATATCACGAAGCAGTTGAAGGTAAGTCTCTTGGAAAACACGACCTGATCATCAGGTTCCTGAGAGGAGCGAGGAGACTGAATCCTCCTCGCCCTCCTCTCGTTCCCTCTTGGGACCTCTCAGAGGTCTTAAGTGCCCTGCAGAGGGCTCCCTTTGAGCCTCTGCAATCAGCTGAGCTTAAGATCCTGTCAATGAAGACAGCGCTCCTGGTTGCGTTGGCCTCAATCAAGAGGGTAGGGGACCTGCACGCATTCTCCGTTGACGAAGCGTGCCTGGAGTTCGGGCCCGGTCACTCTCACGTGATCCTGAGACCCCGGCCTGGATATGTGCCCAAGGTTCCCACCACTCCCTTTCGGGACCAGGTGGTGAACCTGCAAGCGCTGCCCCGGGAGGAGGCAGACCCAGCCTTGGCACTGCTCTGTCCAGTACGCGCACTCCGTGCTTACGTAGACAGGACGCAGTGTTTCAGGACCTCAGACCAGCTCTTTGTCTGTTATGGTGGGAAGCTGAAGGGAAAGGCTCTCTCCAAACAAAGGTTGTCTCACTGGATAGTGGACGCCATTGCTTTGGCATACCAGCAGCAAGGTCGACCATGCCCCCTTGGTGTGACCGCCCACTCCACCCGGAGTGTGGCGTCCTCTTGGGCTTTAGCGTGTGGCGCCTCGCTGACAGACATCTGCAGAGCTGCAGGCTGGGCGACACCTAACACATTCGCCAGATTTTACAATCTCCGAGTGGAGCCAGTCTCCTCCCGTGTACTGTCTTTTTCAAGCTAACACGGGAACCGTTAGGTGTCTTCGCTTGCTCGCCACTCCACTCCACGGACTGGATACGTGCGATATTTCCTCAGGTAGCCTTCCTCTCTGAAGCCCTGAGTTCCTCCAGCACTGTTGACGCTGGCGCCAGTGTCTATTGCCTGTGCGTCGGCTAGGTGCCTCCGTGTGCATGGTTCCTCCTCCGAGCAACCCCCACATGTGTATTTCCACTGTAAGCCTCCTTGAGCATGTGTCTTTCCCTCGGCAAGCCACCTTGCCACTCCTGGAGTTGAAAGTAGATGCCACCCTACGGGTTGGTCACTCCAGTGTTCCTCCATATGAAGCCCCCTCGGGCCATATGTGTATTCTTAAGTCCTCCCTACGGGTAGGCATGCTGCGGCATATCTCCCCTGAGATATGCTTCCCAGTGTACCTTGGTATTCCTGTGTTAAGTAGGACTCCTTCGTCCATGCCTATATCACGACAGGGAGGTCAGACTTCGCAGGGCACTGGAGGACAGCTGTGAAGGTGGCGTGATTACACGGGGACCCCCATTCTCCGTCATCCGACGTAACTCGGAGTGACTACGAAAGGGAACGTCTCGGTTACGGATGTAACCCTCGTTCCCTGAGTAGGCCCATGGCATTTCTTTGCCATTGGCTCGTTTTTTAATACTCGAAAAGGATTGGCTTTCTGGCGAAACCCCCATTCTCCGTCATCCGACGTAACGTCTCCGTTCCCTACTCAGGGAACGAGGGTTACATCCGTAACCGAGACGTTTTTCCTCGAGAGATATCATGGCTTGCAAACGAGCGAAGCATGGCAGTTGATCAGTGTTCGGATGTACAAATGAAACACAAAAGTATTTTTTAGTTCCTTCATCCGAGCCTCTGAAGAAACAATGGGTTAATTTTATTTTCTCTGGAAATGCGCCGACACAACTTCCCAAAGTTTTGTATGGTCCAAACATTTCAACGACGACTGTTTCCTCAACTCGATGAACGTCTGAACATAAATCGATCGAGCTACCAAGCAACAATTTCTGATGTGTAGCCTAATTGTTCAAGTTCAGACAGGTAAGTTAATCTTTCTCTCAAAATCGTTCAATACTGCATCAGTAAGTCAAGCCAGTGACTAAAATATCAACTTCACGTCGTTTCTTTTAGTAGGATGAAAATAATCTTATTTAAATTCTGAACAAATTATACAGAAAGCGGTCAAAGAACAATCTTTCCACAAAGCGTGAGTTTTTCTGGACAACTCGTTATGAAATCAATGACGCACGTTACACTGCACAACGACACTCTTACTGTGTGTACATCATCGTGTTTGCATTGGGGAAAGCATTAGAGAGAGTGCAGAAACTGCGTTGCAAAGATAAGATCTTCATGCTCGCGATCAACAGACTGTCATCTGCTTGCTCAATGCTCATCACGGCAACATTTTATGTGATGGGAATATATCTAAATACTTAAAAACTTCTCACGATTCGTTAATCTCGATAGCTGTAATAGTAAAAACGTTTAAAAGCTGTAGTAAAAGTATTCGAGAAAGTTTCGCATGTAATACATAGCTATTTCATATGCAAGCATGTCAGCCAATCACAGCAGTGGCTGGCTAAACTGAATCCCACAGCAGACACGCCCCTTCAAACAGAGCATTCAAATCAGAGGCTAAAATCAGGCTAGGAAAATTGCCTTTTATTTCTAAATTATGACTATTTTTGATCTAAAAAACATACTAACATTATAAGGGCAACCCAGGAAACATTATAAAATAATAAAATAACCCCATGTCAGGGGACCTTTAAAGGTAATCGGAGCTGCTAGCACACACGAGCTCTTGAAGCTCCGCCTTCTGTGCCGCAGCAGCTCTTTTGCATTTAAAGGAACACACACACGAAACAACGCGTTTTTACTGACCCTCAAAAAGGGACAATTTTAACATGCTTAAAAAAATTATCTGTGGGGTATTTTGAGCTAAAACTTCACATATACACTTATTTTACATATTGTAAAAAGGGGCATTATATCACCTCTTTAATTTAACATATAAATAATACTTTTTAATAACCCACTGAAAGTGTTTATTTCAAATACATTTCTAAATGCTAAAAATTATTAAATGTAAGTAAACAAAAATTTGCATTGCATTTACAATCCTGTGAAAACACAGCACCCCTACTTCCCGCACCCTTGTATGAAGCCTCAACATGCTGTTTTCAGTAATGCATTATATAACATTCTGTGATGTAGTAGGATACTTGGCGATTGATGTGCAGCTCCAGAGTATATAACTGATGGTTTCTGCATTTGTAGTAAATGCCCTGTTTTCCTCAGCCAGTTTATCCCAACATGTTATGCACTTTGTTTCCTTTTCAGACTACCATCTAAACCAGCGGTTTTCAATAGGTGATGCCCGCCTCCCCTGGGGGGCGCTAAAGAGCGACAGGGGAGGCGCGACACGCAAAGAAAAAATAACTGTAAGCAGCTCTATTAATATCGGCTGTAAGAAGAAAAAATTTTTTTTTGGGGAACTTGCATGCGGTTTAATAATTTCGAGTCAATTGATTTCACCTACCAATCATATGAGAGGAACGCAGCTCTAACACGTTACAAGCCTATCAGAAGCAGAGCAGGGCGGGTCCTGGTAACACAGTGTGATTGAGATCCATACGTCACGTTAGGGTCATCTGTGAAACCGTGGAGCGCAAGTTCATGAAGCCTGGGGATGATGTCCTACCCACAGGCGCAATTTCCTATGCTTTTCAAAATCACGTTTGTGTATAAAGTATAGTGCAGTGTTGTTGAAGGGCAAAAATTCTCACCCTGCACTCTGCCTCATATTGGGAGCAGATGTTCTTGGGTCAAGAAGCTCAAAGGCCATTTCCTGTTATTGTGTCTCAAATTGTGTTTATATATGCTTAAGTGAAACCACCTCATTAGGCCTGATGCCATGCCTTTGTCCTTCTCAGAAGTGCCGTGGAGCATGACAGACATTGCGTTGCGGCACTTATCGAGTGCCTGTAGGGATACATGTCTTACAAATTAATCTGTTTTTAAGCAGGTGTTGTGCAATATTTCTTCAATTTTGAATCCCTAGCTGGCTTGAATATGTCCTTGGAAGCTTACAGGATGTCTGCCAGAAATGTCTAACTGTTGTCTGCCACTGTGACTGTTGTTTTGGTGTGTTCCAAAATTACGCCTATTGGCTGAATAGCCCTGCCACACTTCAGAGCTGCTGTCTGTATCAAATGATTTATATGCATTTGGATCATCTTAATTTTTTTGTTCACATGATATGTTTGAAAATAAAAGATTGAAGTAGTTATACTATGTTAAACATCATAGATCTCAAGAGGCCTTACATCTAGTGGACAGTCAACAGAGCAAGCCTATGCCTGTTTCTTTAAATATGACTCATTCCTTGTGTTTGCTTTCTAAATAACAGGGTCCTCCTGGAAAAGATGGAAATGAGGTAGAACTTTATACATGTATTTTTGTTTACTTATATATATACTCATATTTTGAATCTGGAATCTACAACTTCATGGAATTCAAAGTGATGATGCATAAATGAGGGTGACTTTACATACTGGCTTCTGTAATATAAATTTGTTTTTCCTACAGGGACCAAGAGGCCCACCTGGCATGCAGGTAATAAGCCTGTGTGTGTCTACAAACATATGTGAATCACATACAGTGGTCCATAAAGTATTTGGACACTTTAGCCACAATTAAAAATGAATGTTGCATGCACCAAATGGCATTTATTTTGAAGAAATACAGCAGAATTAAACATTTCTTACATTTCAAAATGTACATTGATAGATATACTATTAAAAAATAAGAATTTTGGACACAATATTTGGTTACAAAATCAATATGAAATGTTTTCTCATTAAGGGTACAAATGGTGTCAATGGCATGCCTGGACCACAGGGCCCTTTGGGGCCAAAGGTTAGATTTTTTTTTACCCCCTCCAACTTTTTTTCTTTTCTCATAAACACAAAGACAACCATAATTTCATGCAGGCATTGCTTTTGCATATAGGGGGATCAGGGTGCTCCAGGTACTGAGGGGAAAAAGGGGATTGATGGATCCCCTGGCTTGAAGGTGAGCTGTCTGTTGAGAAGATGGTAATTGTAAAAGTAGATGCAGTTGTGTTGTGTTTATGAGATATAGTTGCATTCAGGTCAGTTGTCTGGGTAAATGCAGATACTAAGATAATACAGTAATCATGGTCTTCTTACTTTGGGTTTAAAGGGAGATGTTGGGGATCCAGGACCCCAGGTGAGTGTTTATTGAAGTCTTTCCCCCCATTACATATATCTGTTCTCTTTGAACATCTTTCCAACTGTCTCTCCCTCAGGGTTTGCCTGGAGAGAAAGGAGCTACTGGCTTCACCGAAAATGCTGATCTGGCTGCTAGACTCAAAGCACTGCAGGTACATTTTAGTCATACAAAAAAGTCAAATCCTATGTGAAGATCCCTCTATTACCTATTACCTTTTTGTATTAATATTTTCTTTGTATCAATAGGGGCCTCCAGGCCCTCCTGGAGAGCAAGGGCCAAAAGTGAGTGATATATTTTCACTGAATTGCATTGACATTCAGCAGTTTCCATTGCTGGAATATTACTACATTCATTTCAAATATGTATTTGTAACAGGGAGAAATGGGATTACATGGAGCGCAAGGACCTGAAGGAAAGCAGGTTGGTTCCTATACAATCTGATTAAACTTAAGCCGTCTCAATCAATCCGTGACATTTGGTGACTGTGCTGGATTTACATGCGGGATAGAAACAGAGCTGACGCCAGCCCAGGACACACGAACTGGAGGGGCATTCATAATTCTTGAAGGGGCCAAGTTATTTTTTTGGTGGGAAGAGAGATCTATATTATATATTCTAGGGTCTCTATATTCTAGCTGAGCTCCCAGAGTGAATTTTATTTTAGAACGTTATTTAAAAATGTTTTAATTCCATGCCGACGCATGCAGCCACAATGAATGACAGATGTATCACTTTTATTTCGTAGTTTCTTTTTATTCAAAATTCAAATTTGGTAATAATAAATTGAACATTGAACTGCAAATACAGCAAAGTTGGAATTATCCCATTTTTTTTTAGAAATAGACTTTGTGCACAGTTGGCCTTGTTCTCTCCCAGGTTCACATCAGGAAACTGTCCTCCGTAAAATACGCTGCACAGACACAAACATTTGGGTTGTACTGTTCTGGAACAGTGTTGTAAATAAATCGTAACCACTGATTCCTATATTGTAAATATAGAAAAACAAGAGAAACACAATATCTTGGGTTAAATTTGATCTTGAAAAGAAAACTGGGAAAAAACTAAGACGTGTGTGTGGAGCAAGGGGTGGTTTGTTGTTGCCTCACTAATTAACCTATCGGAGGATTTACAGATCATATGCAAGCGGGAGAAGCCGTCTCGGTTACGTATGTAACCCTCGTTCCCTGAGTACAGGGAACGGAGACGTGTCGTCGGGGAGTTCCCTGACGAATTGGGATCACGCTAGGGAGACCAATTGCCTTCGAGTGAATTAAAACGAGCCAATGAAAATTGGCATGCAAGGTTTGCATTCCGCGACCCGCCTACCAACGCAGGTATAAAGGGCGGAAGTAAACATTGCGCAATGCTTTTCGCTGAGGAGCCGAACGGTGTCCAGTCCTCCGCGAAGGTACAGCAACATGGCGAAGGGACGACACGTCTCCGTTCCCTGTACTCAGGGAACGAGGGTTACATACGTAACCGAGACGTTCCCTTTCGTCCAGGGAACTCCAACGTGTCGTCGGGGAGTTCCCTGACGAATTGGGATCCCTAACAAAACGCCATGGTGCTGGCCCCTTCCAGTGCCCAGCTAAGCTACCCTAAGCAGTTTCACAAATTACGGGAGCTAGCAAGGGAGTCACACTGCTGTTCCGCAAGACCCACACAGTGGATTGGATAACACTGGGAAAGCGTGCCCAACCCGAAAAAGGGGGAAGGGAACGCTGCGGAAGCCAGATGCCTGAAGAAGGCCTGGAATACACATATGTACTAGCCCAGGGGGATAGTGAAACATATGGCAGTCCCTGAGGTAGTCCCCTCCAAGGGGAGTGGGAGCGTACTCAACAGGGACGACAGAACGAGTCTGTCAAGGGGAAGACACGGCTGGACTGCACGTGGCATAATGGGTCACCGAAGAGACCACTGGACATAACACCCAGTCTACACAACAACTCCCTTAGAGGTAGTAGACCTGGCGCCGGCGGTCCGCCACGCCTGGCACCGAAGGGGTGATGGAGGAACTCACGAGGCTAACCAACGTGGGGCGCCAACGGAGCGAAAGACGCACGTATCTGGCTGAGGCACGGAGTGGCGTAGCAAGCCGACACAACCTATTCCCTCGCACCACTGGCCGTAGCAAGTACTCGGGAGGAAACAGGTTCCACACGTAGGCTGTAGAATCTAGCGAACGTGTTCGGTGTCGCCCAGCCCGCAGCTCTACAAATGTCTGTCAGCGAGGCGCCTTGAGCAACGCCCAGGAGGCGGCAACACCTCTCGTAGAGTGAGCACGCAACCTGGGAGGACAAGGCTCACCCGTAGCTTCATACGCTAGGGTGATAGCATCCACTAACCAGTGAGCTACCTCTGCTTGGAGACGGCCTTCCCCTTCTGCTGGCCTCCGTAACAGACAAAGAGCTGATCTGAGGTCCTGAAGCTTTGCGTTCTGTCAGTGTAAACCCGCAGGGCGCGGACTGGACAGAGAAAAGCTAGGGCTGGGTCTGCCTCCTCCTGGGGCAGCGCTTGCAGGTTCACTACCTGATCCACGAAGGGAGTGGTAGGAACCTTGGGCACATATCCGGGCCGGGGTCTCAGTATCACGCGAGAAAAGCCCGGCCCGAACTCTAGGCACGATTCGTCGACCGAAAAAGCCTGCAGATCCCCGACCCTCTTAAAAGAGGCCAATGCCAACAGGAGCGCTGTCTTAATGGACAGGATATTCAGCTCCACTGTCAGCAAGGGCTCAAAGGGAGGACTTTGAAGAGCTCTCAGTACCAGAGCTAGGTCCCAAGAGGGTACAGAGCGCAAAACACGAGGTGGATTTAACCTCCTAGCACCCTTGAGGAATCTGATGATCAGGTCGTGCTTCCCCACGGACTTACCTTCTACTACATCGTGATGTGCGGCTATTGCGGCAACATACACTTTGAGGGTGGAGGGAGACAGCCTTCGCTCCAACCCATCTTGTAGGAAGGAAAGCACGACTCTGATCGGGCAAGTTCGGGGGTCCTCCTGGTAGGAGGAACACCACTCGACGAATAGGTTCCACTTCAACGCAAAGAGGCGCCTCGTAGAGGGGGCTCTAGCAGAAGTGATGGTGTTACCACTGCCTGTGGTAGGTCACCTAGAACCTCCGCGTCCCGTCCAGGGACCAGACATGGAGTTTCCAGAGGTCTGGACGCGGGTACCATAGAGTGCCCCGTCTCTGAGAAAGGAGGTCCTTCCTCAGAGGAATCGGCCAAGGAGGGGCTGTCGTGAGGAGCATGAGTTCCGTGAACCAAGTCCTGGTGGGCCAATACGGCGCCACTAACAGGACCTGCTCCTCGTCCTCCCTGACCTTGCACAGTGTCTGTGCAAGAAGGCTCACTGGGGGAAACGCAAACTTGCGCAGGCCCCGGGGCCAGCTGTGAGCCAGGGCGTCCGTGCCGAGGGTCCCCTCGGACAGGGAGTAAAACCACTGGCAATGGGTCGTGTCCGGAGAGGCAAACAGGTCCACCTGTGCGACTCCGAAAACACTCCAGATCAGCTGAACCGCCTGGGGATGGAGTCGCCATTCTCCTGGCAGGGGAGGCAACCGTGAAAGCTCGTCTGCCACACGGTTGAGCTCCCCTGGAACATGAGTGGCGCGAAGCGACCTCAGATGCTTCTGACTCCATAGGAGGAGGTGGGAGGCGAGTCGCGACATGCGGCGGGAGCGTAGACCACCTTATCGGTTGATGTACGCAACGGTCGCAGTGCTGTCCGTACGGACCAGTACGTGCTTGTCTTTGAGAAGCCCCTTGAGGCGGCACAAAGCCAAGCGTACTGCTTGCAACTCTAGGCAGTTGATATGCCAATGCAGCTGGGGCCCCGTCCACAGACCCGAGACTGCATGCCCTTTGTACGTGGCCCCCCACCCCATGGCAGAGGCATCTGTGAAAACCACATCATGCCTGGAAACCTGGACTAGGGGCACTCCGGCCCGTAGAAACGCAGGATCCGACCACGGGGAGAAGGTTTGGCGACAGTGCGGGGTTACTTTGACCCGGAACGTGCCGCTCTGCCACGCCCACCTCGGGACTCGATCGTGAAGCCAGTGCTGGAGCGGTCTCATATGTAACAGGCCGAGCATCATTACTGCGGCTGCCATATGCCCCAGGAGCCTCTGAAATTGTTTCAGTGGAACCGCTGTCCTGCCTCGAAAAGACCTGAGGCAGGTGAGCACTGACTGGACGCGCTCCTCCGTGAGGCGCGCAGTCTGGCGACCGAGTCCAACTCCATACCGAGATAAGAGATCCTCTGCATGAGGCAGAGTTAGCTCTTGTCCCAGTTGACCTGAAGCCCCAACCGGCTGAGGTGCCGTAGCACCATGTCCCTGTGATCGCACAACACATCTCGCGAGAGCCAGAATGAGCCAGTCGTCGAGATAGTTGAGAATGCGAACGCCTTGTTCTCTCATGGGAACAATGGCCGCCTCCGCGACTTTCGTGAAGACACGGGGCGACAGGGCCAGCCCGAAGAGTAGGACCTTGTACTGATACGCTCGACCCTCGAAAGCAAACCGTAGAAACGGTCTGTGACGAGGAAAAATCGAGACGTGAAAGTACGCGTCCTTCAGGTCGATCGCTGCAGACCAATCCTGGGGACGGATGCATTCGAAAATGCGCTTCTGCATGAGCATTTTGAACGGGAGTTTGTGCAGGGCCCGATTCAAAACTCGCAGGTCCAGGATTGGTCGTAACCCACCGCCTTTCTTGGGTACAATGAAGTAGGGGCTGTAAAACCCGGACCTCATCTCGGCAGGAGGGACCGGCTCGATCGCGTCCTTCGCCAGCAGGACATCGATCTCTTTCCGCAGGACAGGGGCATCCACTGACCGCACACGGGTGAAGTGGATGCCCCTGAACCTGGGAGGCCGGCGTGCAAACTGAATTGCATAGCCGAACCGAATGGTGCGGACGAGCCATCGGGACAGACCCGGAAGCGCTAGCCAGGCTTCCAGGTACCGACCCAATAAGCCCACCCGAACCACCGGCGTACCCGCGGAGGGGCAGCGGGGTGGAAGGCCGGGACCTGGCTCCAGTGGCAATGTAGCCACTGGAAGCGGGGTCTGGGCGGTCCACCGTGGGGCAGACGGCAGAGAGAGCTCGTATGCTTTCTGCTGCGGGCTGCCCTGTGGCGAAGGGAGGGGGGGAGACGAAGAACGAGGCCCTGACTCCTCGTGTCCTGGTCTCTGCGCCTCCGGGCCCAGCTGCAGACCGGAGTGACGCAGCCGAGGCTGCGTCACTGCTATCTGCAAGCTGGGGAGAGGGGAACGGGAGTGGTGCAGCTCGGGGGCGGCACGCACTGCCATTCTGACCCTCTCGGATGGAGGAAACTGGTCTTATTATACTGCCAGTCTCGACCGTGAGGGGAAACGAGGAACGAGGCCCGGGGGCATCGAGTCCTGGTTTCCCCTCACCCAGCGAGAGACGAGAGTGACAAGGCCGCAGCCCTCACTGCCATCTGAGCGCTGGGGCCCGTGAACGACTCAGAGGAAGTGGACTGCTCAAACTTTGGGTACCGCTGATTACAGGATAACCAGCGGCGGAACAGAAACGAAATTCTCCACCCGGCCCTCCCCCGGGGGAAGGAGTGGTAATGACACGCACTCCCAAAGAGCAGAACGTCACATACTCTGGGTCGCTCCTCTCAGGGTTGTTTCCCTTCCCTTTGCTGGGGGAAAACAAACTCCGAGCGGGCTGGTTTTGAGGTGCTTCTGGACCACCAGTGTGGACATCGTCTAACCGAGGGCCAGCGCTGTGACTAATCACGGTCAGTCACTAAGCACAGCTCAACCCCGAGTTAGAACTACGCACGTGCAGTGGTAGTGAGAGAGGAAAAACTTCTGCAGATTTAGGCATGTTTGGCTTGCCATATTGGCACCAAAATGCTTCCATACTGCCAAAATTCTTCACACACATCCAGGCGCTTTAGAACAGCCCAGGAAAGTGTGGCCGTTAAGTCTGAATCTTCAGCATGAGAACACACCATTATAGTACGAACTCAGCATCATTTTCAGAGTATAACCGCCCTCTCTCCGATGTAGCGATCGACATCTGTCCTCCCTGGGGCCCCGAATGAAATGCCTGGTCCCTCATGAGAAGGACCAGAAACCCATTCGAAAGCCTCGACGGCACACGGCACGCTGAGCTGCTCCAACCTTTACGTGAAAGGGGAGGCGAACAACGTGCCGACGTGGTCATGCACTCCTAAGAGAACATGAACCACCCACGAACGCAGTCTCAACACACTGATTAGGCATGTGAAACCGTGATCGTGGCCGTCAACCAGGCATGCAAGATAGTGAACGTGGCCATCGCTTCGATGACACACGGCACGCTCAAGCCCTCAGGCAGGCGAACAACGTGCCGACGTGGTCATGCTCTCATAAGAAAGCATAAACCACCCACGAACACAATCTCAGCATGTTTGCGATGCGCTAGAGGAGTGAGTGGTTCGTGCTCACTGAAACCCTCAGATCACCAATGTTATTCGCCAAAGCAGCCCTCCTCTGGTGCACCAGAAGAGAAACTGGATCGGGAAATAAGCAAAGGGACTCACCTCATAGAGGCACGCGAGTCTTGATCTTGACCACGCATCTTGAGCGCCGAATGACGCGCGCTGGGTTGCCGTGACAACCCGCGCTGTCAGCCGGCGCTCGACGGCACACGGCACGCTGAGCTGCTCCAACCTTTACGTGAAAGGGGAGGCGAACAACGTGCCGACGTGGTCATGCACTCCTAAGAGAACACGAACCACCCACGAACATAGTCTCACACACTGATTAGGCATGTGAAACAATGAACGTGGCCGTCAAATAAGGACAGGAAACGATCGCATCCAGAAACACACAAGTGAAACGTCATCCTGAAAAGGACGCGATCTTCACTCGTGTTGCTCTTTCAGGAAGAAAGTACTCTCTCTATCGTGCTGAAGCACACAGGGACCCAACGCGGCAACACAGCGGGGAAACTGCAAGCCCGCTGTGCGCACTCAACCGTTTACCAGCTGTGAAAACAGCTTTTTGAATTAACAGCATATAGACGCAGCCGGCAGACAGGAAACCGCGCGGTCGCTGAAACGCCATCTCACCAACACAGAGAGATCCCCTCCCGAAACAGCAGACTCGTAGTTGTAAGAAAGATACATTTCTTAAAGCTCACTCACTCAGAGAGGACACAATCGGACGGCTCCGAAGCTAAAAGCATTGCGCAATGTTTACTTCCGCCCTTTATACCCGCGTTGGTAGGCGGGTCGCGGAATGCAAACCTTGCATGCCAATTTTCATTGGCTCGTTTTAATTCACTCGAAGGCAATTGGTCTCCCTAGCGTGATCCCAATTCGTCAGGGAACTCCCCGACGACACGTTGGAGTTCCCTGGACGAAAGGGAACTCATGTTACGGTCGTCACGATCGCAGATGGCCGTTTTTGAGCCATCGGGTGTTTTTGACCTACTGTACATGACGTGAGAAGAAGTTAGCTATTTAGGTTTGTACGTTAGCATGTTCCCAGTAACTTTAATTGTAACTTAATGAGAGTATGGCAACCAGAAAATGAACGTTTTCACCTTCATTGGGATTAGGGTTGAATCCTTAGAGAACCAAGTTACTGCTCTCACATCATTGATATAATAAATTAACCAGGCTTCAGTTGTATTGAGCATATAATTGGTCCATTCGCGCAAATCTTATCACACTTTTGAAACGCGCTGGTGAATGCGCGCACAGTACGGTGATTCAATACATAAATACCCATGCCCATTCTCTCAGGATAGCTGGAATCAGTGTAACAAGTACCCCAGGCACATCGTTTTATCATTTTTGTAGCATAAACACCATAAAACCGATGAGAGCTTCCAATGTTTCTCTATGGCGCTGAAACCTAAAGATGTCCGAGTTCCGGGTCCTGTGCAACTGATAGTCAACTGCCATTGGCTCATCTGCGTTCGAGGGGAGGGGTTTACTGATAGGTCAATTGCATCATCAGGTTTGGCGCTCTTATTGGTTTTTGATTTGACGGTTGTGGTAGGAGAAGTCACACTACGGGACTGTGCATCAAATCTTCTGACACTGCCAGAATTTCGTCTGAGGTAAAATTTGATCGCGATGGTCATTAATCAGCCATCGCCGAACATATCAAACTAACGATCAAAGACTTCAGATTTTGGTCTAGGATCCAAGTAATCTTTTTGGGATCACAAAATTTGTCGGCCAAAATTGTACAGTGCAAACCCGGCTTTAGTCGTGCATGTATACTGCATTATATAGTGCGATGTCTCATCCAGGGCCATAAGGGAGAGAGAGGTGATGCAGGAGAGCCTGGAGCAGCAGGAGCAAAAGGGGAAAAGGGGGATATTGGGCTAACAGGGCCTTCAGTGAGTATTTACAACATATAGCATGTAATGTTCACTGAGGTTTACTGCAAGGATTATGTTATTGTACCATGGTGTTTTAGGGATCAGCAGGGCAAAAAGGAGATAAAGGAGACTCTAGGCTTGAGGACAATTTGGTGAGTTTAACACACACTCTACATATTAAAATATGAAGAACCTAATCCAGATGTATCTTAACTGGACTGATCTTGATAATTCTCTTGTAGGACCAGATTATCTCTTTGCCTGGACCACCAGGGCCTCCTGGACCCCCTGGGCATGCCGTAAGGAATAGTTTACTACTAGTTCAGAAGCTTTTTGTTAAGGAAGGCTAAGAAGACTAACCATTTTTTCTTCCAGGGATATCATGGATTGCCTGGACCCAAGGTGAGACTGTGAAGTATTGTTGTAAAGGAATGACCCTTTCTGATGCATTTTGCGGGAATGGCAAATAAAATATTTAAAATGAATTTAAAATGTAACACAGGGAGAGCCTGGTGAGGCAGTCAAAGGAGAAAAGGGAGATGCTGGAGAGAAAGGTCCATCTGGGCAACGGGTAAGTTGTTACAAAACCAATATGCAGAAACTATTCCAAGACTTGTATAGATGTGAAAAGCCTGGACAGATACAATTCTGCTTGTTGTGCACAGGGTCCTCAAGGCTTTCCAGGGTCTAATGGCTTAGTAGGCCTGCCAGGTGCAAAGGGTGAAAAGGTCAGTGTTTTGTACACCTTAAAAAGACGAGACAAAAAGTCTGAAAATAACACAAAGTTCTGTCATGAAACTCTAGATGGTGCAGCCTAATACAGGGTTCCCTTTCGTTCGGGAACTCCTACGTCTCGTCGGAGGAGTTTCCAACGAATTGGGATCACGCTAGGGAGACCAATTGCCTTTGAGTGAACTAAAACAAGCCAATGAACATTAGCATGCAGGACTTGCATTCCGCGCCCCACCTGCCAGTGCGGGTATAAAGCGGAAGCGAGCGCACACACATATGCTTTTTGCTTCGGAGCCGACCGGTTGTGTCCTCTGAGTGGATGAGCTTCAAGATTGGGATATTATCTTTAATTTATCTTTCGCTCAACGAGTCTGCTGTTTTCTCCGAGACCTTTCTGTGTTGGTGTGATGGCGCTTTAGCGATCTTCGCGATCTCCCGGCTACCAGCTGTTGCTTCATGCGATCTGCCTTTTTTTCAAAAGACCTGTTGTCACACCTGGTATTCGGTTGAGTGCACACAGCGGGCTTGCAGTTTCCCGGCTGTGTTGCCGCGTTTATCCCTGTGTGCTTCAGCACAATAAGAGAGCGTTTTTTGTAGGGATGCACCGAATCCAGGATTCGGATTCGGCCGAATATTGGGCTTTTTAACGGGGTTCGGTTTCTGCCGAACCTCAGAATTTTTTTCCACCGAACCGAACCCTAGGCTTGCACTACGCGCGCTACGTTGAAGTCACCGATCAGTGAATGACATCAAAGTACCGCGTGAACGAATAGAGAGCAGACGGCTCCTTATGCTTTTGAATTGCTCTCGCGGTACCTTGTTGTCATAAACTGATCTGTCTGTGCAGCGCTGGTTCAAGTCGAACAAGCCTGTAGTGTAACGCGTTGTGTCAGGAAGAAAAATAGGGATAGCTCACAGCTAAAGTTATTGCAGAGGCCAGACAGACTCGCAGAGGCCAGACAGACTCACGGAGGCGATTGGCATCTCACAACTCGCACTTTATTCCAAAATCGAACTTGTGTGACTCACTGTCTGTCACACGTTCTACCGTCCACAGCGTTACTTAAAGCTCCAGTCGGCAAGTCTGGCAGATTGAGTGGATTTAGGAAAATTTTTAATGTTTACAACTCTCATGCCCCTCCCCCACCATCAACGGAAACCCTCCCACCGAGTTCATGCTCGTCAGTGCGTGTGCACCAGATTTTCAGTGAACGCCAGGACTCTCAAGTGTCACGCATTGAGCGTGACAGTCACTCATTTCGGTCTTTTGACACGCTCTCCCGCCACACATTGTATTTCTCACGCTGAAAAACTATTTGTAATATATTTAATATGCCGCAGCGCCCAAAACTCTGGCCGCGCCGCTCTCACTGTGGAACCGGCATGAATCAAGCGCGTTTCCTCTGGTGTTGTTCGTCGAGCTACACAATAGCCAATCAGAAAATAGCACTATTGTATCTGGGTAAGATTTAACGCAACAACCAATGACAAAAATGTATCCAACCCCCCGTCGGCTGGGTGTCACTCTTACCTGTCTTCAAAACTTGAGAGCCCTGGAACGCGCCCGTCTCATCAGCATCCATCAACACCATGGAGTATTTGGAGGTATGCTGTCCTGGCTAATCTACCGATAGATTGCAATTGCTAACGTCATTTATACTCTAAATGAGCTTACTTGATTTTCCGCCATCACTCTTCGTTACTGCGCGAACTTCCGCGAACTTCAGGCGTGTGCATGTGATTGTAACGTGCGCGAGGGGTGGCGTGTGCCCGATCTGTGATTGACAGTCAGATCTCACACCCCCCTGCGCTGATTGGACATGATGAACCGGGAGCTGTGGATTTTTGCAAAACAAATAACAAGCTCCAGGTGGAGTTAGAAGCTCGGGTTTTTTTCTAAAACCACTTTATTTATGTTGTTCTGTCAGATTATAGTGTCGATTTCACTGAATATGATCAAAAAAATGTTGCCGACGGCAGCTTTAACAAAATAAGGTAAAAATGAGCATCAAACAGAAATAACCCGCATACATGGGCATGTGTTCGAGGCGCACGGCACATAAGTTACAATACAGTCCGTAGTAGTGTTGTCAAAAATATCGATATTTCGATAAATATCGATACTGAAATATCTGAACGGTACCAATACTAATTTCCTGAAGTATCGATACTCTGGCGCGTTGACAAACACCACACGTGACGCACTCGTCTCATTCGCTCTGGTTAAATAGCAAAAGTGAAGTGAATGGAAAGATGGCGAGGGCGGCGCCCCCGCGACCGGCTTTGTTTGATTGATAAAGAACACCGCGAGCGGGCATGTCGGAGAATAGCGCAGACACGCGTAAAAAACACACCGCGAGCGAGCATGTCGGAGTCGGAGAATAGCGTGGACACGCGCTACACACCGCGAGCGGGCATGTCGGAGAATAGTGCGGACGCGAGCGGGCATGTCGGAGAATAGCGCAGACACGCGTAAAAAACACACCGCGAGCGAGCATGTCGGAGTCGGAGAATAGCGTGGACACGCGCTACACACCGCGAGCGGGCATGTCGGAGAATAGTGCGGACGCGAGCGGGCATGTCGGAGAATAGCGCGGACACGCGAGCGGGCTGCGGGCACCCAACAGATTGTTTGACTAATAATCCCTCACATCACTCATTTTTTAAAATTATTGTATAGGTGAAAACAGACTTAAGGAACAGGCTCCAGGGGTAGGCTACTATTTAGCAGCATATGCTCAGCATCAGGGGTGTTTGTTGTTTGGACAGACCTGCCCCCACTGCTAAAAAAAGTCCTCAAGGAAACACTGTAACTCTTCTCATTTGAACTTTTCTGAAACATTAACCAAGATGGCCTAGTAGGCTATTGTTGTTGATAAGAGTCTGTGTTGTCTCGTTTTAATTCTTAAAGTTAACATAATCTGACTGAGGAATCTTAGACAAGTAAATATTGTAACTGTGGTCAAATGTAAATTAACTGGTGCCTATTTAACTTTATTAAAAAATTATTATTTAATTCTGCAAATTTCCTTTATTAGCGATTATCATCAATTTGATTACACAGATATTAATTAAACTAAACAGCTATCTCTGAATTCAATAATGACATGCCTTTAACTGAAAATTGAACGTTTAATCTTATTATTATACATTACTGACTCTCTATCCTCCAATTTGATACTGTTATGTGCTTTTTTGTTACAGTATATTTTAATCTTTGATAACAGTAGGTAATAAAAATACATCATGTTAGCTCTGGTCCAATTAAAAAATATAAACAAATAGAACTCAGGACATTTTTGTTCGTGTACAATATACCTCATTGTCATGTTCTAGACTTGTTATATTTAGCTTTAAATTAAAAAAATACCCCCTTAATATTGTGGCAGCTTTTTCTCCGTGGTATCGAAAATGGTATCGAATATCGATATTTTTCAAGGTATCGTATCGAAGTTAGATATTCTAGTATCGTGACAACACTAGTCCGTAGACAGTTGAACAGGGAGCGCGGTCAGCGCGCAGTTCTTAAAGGGGCCACACCTTATTTCCACTCGTTGCAGTAGGTGGACCGTTCGAATGCAGTAGGCTGTGAAAATGGAACTCGTGAGCAGAAAAAGTGTTGTTTGGCAGTACTTTCAGTGAAAAGAAGGCAATTCAAGTCGAGCTACATGTTCAATTTGCAATGCCGATTTGTCTCATGGTGGCAAGGACTCTAAACAATAGGCTACACAACATCGCCGCTGTTAAAATGCATAATGTTGCTTATTCTTTTTTTTTTTTTTTACAGTTATAAAAGTAAAAGTAGTGTTTATTATTTACAGTATTAAAATAAAATGAAAAATCCACTTTGTTTACTTCATTAATGTGTTTACTGTGTTAATGGACTGCGGATGAGAGTAGGATTCGGTATTCGGTTTCGGATTCGGCAGAATCTTAACCAGTGGATTCGGTATTCGGCCGAACCCCACAAATCTGGATTCGGTGCATCCCTAGTTTTTTGTGAAAAGAGCAACACGGGTGAAGATCGCATCCTTTTCAGGATGACGTTTCACCCGTGTGTTTCTGGATGCGGTCAACTTCTGCCTCCGGCTGAGGGCCATGATCGCTGCCTCTCGTGCTTGGGCCTCGCGCACGCTGAGGCAGCGTTCGTGAACGAGTCATGTTCTCACTGTGGGAACATTACCGTCGCGGTGCTAAGAATGAGTCCCTTTGGAGATTCCCCGATCTAGTTCTTCTTCTGGTTCACTCCAGAAAAAGGCTACTTCGGCTAATCCCATTGGTAGTCTAAGAGTTACAGTGAGGAATGACCCGCCGAGTGAAAGACCCCCGCGGGGTTCCCACTCCTCTGCATCGCTGCCATTGGAGCCCCTGGAGGAGCGCGCTGGGCCATCTCGTGTGGTCCCAGTCGTTTCCTTCGGGGCTCCACCGGAGGACCAGATGTCGATCACTGCACTGGAGGGAGAGCGGTCACCTTCTGGGGATGACAACTCAGCTGCGCTGCCCCCTTCAGGTGTGGTAGTGTTGTCCGAGCCAGATCCGGAAATGACTGCTATGCTTGCCCGGGCGGCCAAGAGAGTCGGGCTCGTGTGGAACCCTCCACCGCGTCCCGAACCTTCTCGGCTCGACGATTGGTTTCTTGAGGCGGCCCGTGCTGGTTCTCAGCGCTCCGCCCCGGTTCCTTTCTTTCCGGAGGTGCATGAAGAGGTGACGAGATCGTGGACGGCCCCTCTGGCGGCCAGACACAGGTCGACTCCCTCCTCCTCCCTCACCACTCTCGATGAAGGGGCAGTGAAGGGATACGAAGGCATCCCCCCAGTGGAACGTTCTGTGGCGATGCAGTTGTGTCCCAAGACCGCGTCCACCTGGCGGGGTAACCCTTCGCTCCCCTCCTGCGCATGTAGATTCTCTTCCAGTCTGACTGGAAAGGCTTACAGTGCGTGTGGAGAAGCCACGTTGCCTCGCTGCTCTCATTTCCCCCGCCCCAGCGCTCAGATGTCAGTGACGCCGCTACGGCCTCTTCACTCTCGTCTTTCGCTGGGCAAGGAGGCGCGGAAACCAGGACTCGACGCCCCCGGGCCTCGCTCCTCGTTTCCCCTCCTTCCTTCGCCTCGGGACAGCCAGCAGCCGAATGCCTCCGGGCCTTCCCTGCTGTCTGCCCCCTGGTGGAAGCAGGTAGGTGTTTCCCCGCACACCCAGACCCCTCTCTCGTCCGCAGCAATGCCTCCGGAGTCCGGTCCCTGCCTTCCACCTCGCTGCCCCTCCGTGGGTACGCCGGTGGTCCGGTCGGCTCGTTGGTACAGTCTCTCGAAGCCTGGCTAGCGCTTCCGAGGCCGTCCCGCTGGCTCATCCGTACCATCCGGCTCGGCTATGCAATTCAGTTTGCCCGCCGGCCCCCCAAGTACAGGGGCATCCGCTTCACCCAAGTGCGGAGTGTCGATTCCCGTCTTGAGGAAAGAGATCGACGCCCTGCTGGCAAAGGATGCGATCGAGTCGGTCCCTCCAGCCGAGATGAGGTCTGGGTTCTACAGCCCTTACTTCATTGTTCCCAAGAAAAGCGGTGGGTTACGATCCTGGACCTGCGAGTTTTGAATCGGGCCCTACACAAGCTCCCATTCAAAATGCTCACGCAGAAGCGCATCTTCGAATGCATCCGTCCCCAGGATTGGTTTGCAGCGATCGACCTGAAAGACGTGTACTTTCATGTCTCGATTCTTCCTCGACACAGACCGTTTATTCGGTTTGCGTTCGAGGGTCGGGCATATCAGTACAAGGTATGCAGACAGACATCTGTAGAGCTGCGGGCTGGGCGACACCTAACACGTTCGCTAGATTTTATAGCCTCCGTGTTGAACCTGTTTCCTCCCGTGTACTCGCTACGGCCAGTAGCACAAGGAATTAGGTCATGTCGGCTTGCTACGCCATTCCTGCCCCATGGGCCGGATACGTGCGTCTTTTTGCTCCGTTGGTTCCCCAACATACGGTTAACCTTGTGAGTTCCTCCATCACCCCTCCGGCTCCAGGCGAGGCGGTTCGCCCGGCGCCAGGTCTATTACCTCTCGTAGAGTTATTTTTAGACTGGGTGGCCTTACAGTGGTCCCTATGGTGACCCATTTTTTTCACGTTCCAGCTACCCTCCGGGTTAGCTCCGTGCCTTTCCCTCGACAGACCTGTTCTGTCGTCCCTGCTGAGTACGCTCCCACCCCTCGGGCTGGGACTACCTCAGGGACTGCCATATGTTTCACTACCCCCCGGGTTAGTACATATGTGTATTCCAGTGCCTTCCTTCAGGTGGGCAGGGGCTCCGCAGCGTTCCCTCCTACGGGTTGGGCACGCTTCCCCAGTGTTTTCCAAATCCACTGAGCGGGTCTTGCGGAACAGCAGTGTGATTCTTCCTAGCTAGCTCCCGCCGTAAAGAAAACTAAGAAACTGCTTTGGCGGGAAGCTAAGCTGGGCGCTGGAAGGGGCCAGCACCATGGCGTTTTATTAGGGATCCCAATTCGTTGGAAACTCCTCCGACGAGACGTAGGAATTCCTGAACGAAAGGGAATGTCTACGTCTATGGTAACCCTCGATCCCTGAGGAGGGAACAGAGACGTCTCATCCCGTCGCCATGCTGCTGTACCTTCGCGGAGGACTGGACACCGTCCGGCTCCTCAGCGAAAAGCATATGTGTGTGCACTCGCTTCCGCTTTATACCCGCACTGGCAGGCGGGGCACAGAATGGAATGCCTGCATGTCAATGTTCATTGGCTCGTTTTAGTTCACTCAAAGGCAATTGGTCTCTCTAGCGCGATCCCAATTCGTTGCAAACTCCTCCGACGAGACGTCTCCGTTCCCTCCTCAGGGAACGAGGGTTACCATACGTAACCGAGACGTTTTTCCTGCATAGAGAATTACAAGGCGGCCGCCTCCTTCAAATTTGGTGCCGCCTCCGGCTCTCGACAAAACTCAGGCAGTCACATGCTCAGATACCATTTTCCATCGTGACGGTTCTGTTGCGGGTTTCCGGCCTGTGCCCATTCTCAAACCGTATAGTTTGCTGATAGATAGTGATGCGCGGATCATCACAGTAAATCGCAATGAACGAGCATCACTCTTTTACTTTCGTTTTCAACAACGTAATTCTCTTCTGGGAAAACCAATCAAGGAAAACATATGCCAGGGCTCGACATTAACGCTTGTGCGGGACATGTGGATTTTTTTGAAGGAACAAGTGAAAGAGAATTTTACTTGCCCATCTCCGGACAAATGGCCTGATTAAAACGTCAATATATATATATATATATATATATATATTTGAGAGTTGTCATGACAGAACTAGGCCTACTGTACATATAACGCTAATTATTCTCTCATTTTGTTTTGTTTTTCAAGGGAAAACAAGGTGAACCAGGATTAGATGTAAGTGATTATTATGCTATTGGTTACACACTCGAGTATATTAAGTAATTACTTACTGAACATGGCTCTCCTGTGACAGGGTTTCCCAGGGCTTCAAGGAGAAAAGGGGGAGAGAGGAGACAGGGGGGAGAAGGTTAGAGAAACAAATACTTTATTTTCAATAATTACTGTTTGTATGTGGGTAATACTGTATATAAAGTATATTTTTATAAAATCAAACCTCAAGTCTGGTGTATGCTGTTCGAGTACAATCTGACAAAGCAAACAATTCTTAATGTCTCCTTGCAGGGTGAGAGAGGCTCAATAGGAAAGAAAGGTCTGAAAGGACTGAAGGGAGAGCAGGGACCTCCAGGGCTTGATCAGCCTTGTCCTGTGGTATGTAATGAAACCATGTGTATGTTGTTTGGAAAAAATAAATGCAATGTTCTTTTCTGTCCCTTTTATGCATGTGAATGACAAATTCAGATCTGTGTGAATGAGTTTACAGCTAGGATTTGACATGAATGGGTTTTACTGACAGGACACCAATGGGGTTTGAGAACATGGTGGGGAGGCAAGGGTTCCATCAGATGCCCCCTGCCCTTTGGTACAGTATTTTTAATCTTGTGTTTGTGCTCACATCATTTGATGTTTCATCCTGGTGCTGTGGGTTCCCCTGTCCACAACCATGAGATCTGATTCAGGTGGCTTGGCACAGACCAGAGCTTCTGAACTACTTTATCACAAGTTATCTTATACCGTAAAACTTCAAATAATAGCCGAGTCCCAAATAGACGCCTGTCTCTTTTACACACCTGGTGTGGCTACAGGTTTGGATAAATAAAGGCCGGTCTCAAATTGAGGCCTGGTCTGTTTTTTAGTTTTGGGTTGTATTTAATCTTCTAAAACCCGTCAGGTCATCTGTTTAAGCTAGTTCTATGGTGCAGATTGCGCACGCAAGAGAGCCCTGAGCATCTGGGCGAGAGCTGTTAGCGCAAGAAAGGCAGGCAGAGTTAGCAGAGGCCGGAGAGGGAGAAGTGGAGGAGAGCGACGAGGAGGAGGAATTCGCCTATGAACTTGTAGTTGAGGATCGCGGTGATGATGATAGTGATGAATAGGGTCATTTTGTATCACATGATTGCAGTTGTTTTAAAGGGTAGCCTTCATTCTTTCTTGTTGATGTGTTTCGGGCAACAAGTTCATAGGCTCAATGGATATTACCGGTCACTTGTATTGTTCACCCATGGCTGTCACATTGTTTCGTTTCTTTTATGCTGCCAATAATCTAAAGGGGGTCGCACCGGACGAGAAGCGCAGTTCCGCGCCGTGTCACGTCTATGACAACTCGAGGTATCGCACACTGGATGCGCACTTTGTCAGTTTATGGCCAGCATTATTGTTATGTTTAAGGACATTATGGAATTAAGATCATGTCTGTACTATGTTATGATTGTACTGTACTAGGGCTGGGCGATATGGCTAAAAAATTTATCACGATATCAGTGTTTCATAACGGTCGATATCGATAATTATTGATTTTTTTATGACCCATTTAAAAAAAGGACCAGGAGAAAAATATATTACATTTAAATTTTTATTTTAAACTTAACCTTCCTCTGATTATAATCCCAAGACAGAAATGTCAACACAACCATGGAAAACTCAAATAATTAAAATGTAAACATAAGTCTAAATTCACAATGAACACTTAACAATTATCTCTTAACATTTAAGGTGCAAAATGAAAGAAAATGTAAGAAATGCTTAATAAAGTATTGCAAAGTGTTAAATATAAACAGAGAAACCTGAGAATTTAGTGCAAGTTTAGTGCTAGGAAGTTCACTAGCTGTTCACCTTCTGGTGAATAAAGTGTTTTAAAATATGTGCAGTGTTTAGACTGAGGTACATCTGTAACATAAAAAACAAACCTGATACAGTACAGTAACATTGTTTTAAATATAAAACCTGCAGAAATATGAAAAAGTAACTCTTCAAGTTATTCTTTCTCTAATCATCATACTTGAAGTTGAAATATTCAAGTATATTTTCAGTCCAGGTTTTGTGCTAGGAACACCAGCTGGTTGACTTTCTCTGGGTCTAAAGCTGCCCTGGTGCATGTAACAATATTACCCCCAGTACTAAAAATTCTTTCTGTGGGGTTGCTGGTGGCTGGGATGCACAAGTACTTTTTCACCAGCTGAGACAATCTGGGGAAGTTGTGTTCATGTAGCCTCCACCAGTCCAGAGGGTTAGACTCGCTGTCTGCATCAGGGCACATCAGGTACCTTTCCAGCTCACTCTCCACTTTTTGTTTTTCAGTGAGAGGCAAAGCATCATCTTCTTGGCACTGTTTTTTGAAAAAGCTCCCCAATGACTTGCGTTGCTTTTTCACGCCCAGTGGCAGAGGTGGTCCGCTGACAGCTCCTCCATCTGCACCTTGGTCTGATCCTCCCTCAGAAGGCCCTGCCTGTGATTGGCCCTGGTCTTCATCCATGATCTCAGACACAGCTTTCATTTGAATGGCCCCTACCTTCTCTGGTCTGATGTTTTGGCATTTAAACCTAGGGTCCACGAAGGTAGCCATATCAAGGAGATCATCTGTGTAAGGGTCAGCATATTTCTCGTCGAGATAGGTCATTATTTTTGTCTTCAGCTCTTTTGTGAGCTGAGTGTCCCCCTCATTAACTCTCAGCAAACTGGAGCGGAAAAGGTGGAGCACAGGCTTCACGTACGAGACCGTCACATATGACTCCCCAGAAAGGGAGTCTGTGAACTCCAGGAGAGGAGTTAAGGCCGCATGCATTGACTCAAGGACGTCAATATCCTGCCACGTTGGGATCAGGTGCCTGTTGTTTTTGTCAGAAGAAAGAACTTCAGTGTTGGCCTTTTGTTGCTCTAGGACCCTTGCCACCATCTTTTGTCTTGAGCCCCACCTGGTTAGTGACTCGGTGACCAGCTGGTGTGTGGGAAGATGGAGACGTTCCTGTGCTTTAGAGAGCGCACTCTTTTTTTTCCACGAGTAAGAAAAGGCAGATACCACTTTCTTGCACACACCTACAGCCCTCTCCACTCCTTTATCTTTTCCTGCAGCACCTGCAGAAATACAATGCCAGCGTAAATAACTGATAATAGAACACACACACACACAAACAAACAAACACACACATACAAACACACACAGAAACACACACACACACACACAGAAATACAGAAACACACACACACACACATAAAAACACACACACACACACACACACACACACACACACACACACACACACACACACACGGACACACAAACAGAAACACACACACAGTCATGTCAGTGTGTAAAGCTGTTTCCATAAATCATAATAATATAATTATAATATATAATCAATTACTGGCTAATAAAATCACCCTAGGAACCAACATTGATGACGAGCATTAAAATGACAAAGCTACTCACCAATAGCAGAGTGCAAACGATGGCCAAAACACTGCAGCCGTGTCCAGTTGTTCAGTGAAGTCGCCTTCACTACATTTGCCCCGCTGTCTGTGGTGATGCAAACCATTTTGTCTTCAATCAGACTCCAGGACAACAGTGCCTCCTTCAAGCCTTCTGCTATCACTTCTCCTGTGTGATCTTCGGGGAAATATGCAGTCTCAAGGCATCTGGTTTTCAAACCCCATTCATTGTCGATGAAGTAAATGGTCAAGCTAATGTATGGCTCAGAAGTACGGCTTGACCACAGGTCAGAGGTTGTTGCAAAGTACTTGGCTGACAATATTTCTTGCTGCACAGATTCTTTGCACATTACATACAACTTAGGAATGGCAGTCTTAGAAAAGTACTTTCGGCCAGGAAGAACATAGCGTGGGTCAAGCACGTGTATGAGATTTTTATAACCTGGCTTCTCGACAGTGCTAAGTGGAAGCATGTCTTTGGCTATATGATATGCCACTGCCTCCGTTATATCTTTGTACCATTTAGATTGTTTGTCATAAGGCACTTATGCAGAGTACCTCTCCATGGTGGTCTGCTGCTTGTGCGGTGTTGCAGCTGCAGGTGTTGTTGGTCGAATACTGCTGTGCTCCAAAGGGTGAGCGCGGCTAAGGTGGTAAAACAAGTTCGTGGTATTACCAGTCTTGGCGGGGACGACGGTCTTGCATAACTTGCAGACGACATTGGTCTGACTACGGTCAGATTTATAATATCCAAAAAACTGCCATACTGGCGAGCTGACTTTTCCTATTTTATTTACAATTTCCTCGCTCGCTGCGGCACTCATTTTCTGCTTATCAATCGCCGGTTACTGAAGAGGAATCCAGCAGCACGAGACAACGATATGGCGCAACCAAACTTGAGACTGTTACATGATTGGCTGTTAGCATGTCACTCCCTACATTGCTAGGTTACCAGAGAGTGAGTGCCTTTGTTAATGCAACCAAACTTGCTTCGCAACCTGTGGTTTCTTCCGACGAAGAAAAAAAAAATCGAACGTTTTATAGAACAAATTTTTTATTGATATCGATCACGTGTCTATCGCGATACATATCGTTATCGTGTTATCGCCCAGCCCTATACTGTACAATGAATTACAATCGTTGCTCAGTCTGCAGTCTGAACACTTTACCTCTGAGCGTCCGTTAACTGAATAAATTGAGAATATCACCTGAAAATCCGATAACATCAGCAATTTTCATTCAACCAGCTGATTTCAGTAAATGAATGTAAAACTAAATGTATATTGCAGCACAGGGTGAAGTCAGTATATACATAACGACGATTTGAGACAAATTAATGTAAATGGAATATAAAACAGGATTTTGAACAAGGTCCTGAGCCGTTGCCGTCGCTGTGCTTCTCGTCCGGTGTGCGACCCCCTTTCGACATACAGTAGGCTAATTCTTCTGATTTGTTAAACACATTCGAATTATAAATAAAACGTAATATAATGTGGTAACCTCCGACTGTCATGCTTTCCGTCTATCAGCCTATGCTATTTGGATCGTTATCTCTAGGTCTACACTCAATGAACAACATCTCAACACTAAATTAAAGGCCTGTCTCATATAGACGCCTGTCTCAAATACAAGCCGGTGCAGTTCGGCGATTTGGGAAAATAAAAGCCCGGGCTATTATTTGAAGTTTTACGGTAGTCTCTCAATTTGCAAAGCAAAGTTTTGCCCCATATACAAAATAAAATTCTAATTAGGGATATGCAAAACTGCCAATTTTCAAAACCAACAACTATGACTAGAACATCTACTTAAACATCTAGTCAGTGCCAAGGAATAATCTTGTCAACCAGACACAGATTGTGTAAGAATGTGCCCAAAAAATTTACCAAATCAAATAACCTTACTTTCACCAATGTTAACACTTTGTCCTAAATATGAAAAATAAAGCTAAAATAAATATTTTAAAAGATTAATTGGATTTAACAACCTCATTAATTACAGACTAGTTGGTTCATGGACAACTAGTTGACCATTCTAACTCCATTGTAAGTGTTCATATCAAACCTATGCCTTGCCCTGTAAAAATATAGATCACATGAGAGAAATAACTGCACCCACCTGGGTTTATGATTTTGTCCATCTGAGCTGTAGTGATGATGTGAGCATGATGTGTGCTGCGTTTCACTTTCAGATTAACTGCCAAAGGTGTTCCTCTGTGGGGTAGTGTGATTCCTTTAGTCTCACATAATCATTGGTGACAGGCTTCATATGTGATTCGCCATTCCTTCCCGCCCCATCAGTAAGAACTTTGAAACAAATAATTGATTTCCTTCTCTTCTTTATTGACAGGGGCGAGATGGACTGCCCATACCAGGATGCTGGCATAAGGTATAATTATATATGTCATCCGGGGAAACTATGAGTCCTGCTAGTTTTCCCAACATCCTTGTCATAAAAATGAGGACATTGCATTATGACTGCTTCTTGTGTGTGTCTCCTAACAGTTTTCTCCTATTGCTTTCTTGCAGTAAAGACTAACCTGGAGCATGGAATTTGTACATATTGATATATATTTTGCAAGTAACGTTTGCTTTTTTTCTCCCAAATTTTTTTAGTAATCGCTTTTTTAATAAATTGGGTTTTCATACAGGAGCCCCTGCAAAAATAATGTCTATCGCTGCATTAACAAAAGAGGGGGTTATCCACTGCCACAATAACAAGTGTAGAAAAGCAACGAAGAGAGTATTATAGGTGCTGAGACTGTACTGATATTGAGAAGAGACATGAACTCAATGCTTGTGGATGCCAAAAGAATGCTGCTGATGTCCTTAAGGAGAGAATGGGTCTTAAACCAATATAACCCTGAACTTTCTAACAGACTGACCAATGCATCTACTTATATGACTTCAAATGATGTTTTTCACTGGCTGTCTTACTTTTCTGGGTGCCATTTGAACCAACCCCATGCATTCTTCATTAAATATTTGCTTGAAAGGAAGAGGCTTCAGAATCAGGGCAGGTTGGCAAGGACAAGCAATCTTCTAAGGCCTAAAGAACACTGAATGGACTAAATGGAGTGAGAATGCTTTGCCAAAGTTCAACTGGATGTTTCAAATGAAAGGGCTCGTCTGTACTACAGGGAGGAACGTGATGTGGATATTGCACTGGATTTGTACTGGTGTACATATGGACAAATCTGTACTCAGGAAACTCTTTTCACTTGGTCAATAGGAAACTGCATACTATCTTTTTGTTCCATTGCTCACTAAAATACACCAGTGGAGTGGTGGGGGGAAAAGTATAATAACTGATATCATGTAAAAGTCTTGCCTGTGCCTCACTGAATAAAACTACTTTTAGTCTTTTATTCATTGTTTTTGTGAGGGGTTGTTTGCATCCTCAATGAGCATTATATAAAGTTTGTGTAAATAAAATGGATAATTTTTACATTTAAAGGCTAGTATGACTTATTGTGTGAATAACTTTTTACTGTGCATTGTTTTGTGATCAAATGTTTTTCCCTCATTCTGTTTTAGGGGGCCAACCCCTTAGGCTTGCGGTGACTCTTTAAGGGAGATTTTTTTCTTATTTGAGGGAGAAATGAAAAGGAAATAAGGTATAAACCAGGGATGGTTGTACATTTTTTGTGATATTTCTGTCTGTATCTTGAAGTTCTTTTTAAGCCACTGCGTTCAAAATGTGATTCAAACTAGTTACAAGTGTCTATCTTTGCAGCACAAACAGAAAATGCATGGTTTAGTTTTTAAACACGAGCAGTGAAATGTTACAATTCACCCCAAAGTCTGAGTTAGTTTTAAAATTCCCTAGGATATAAAATTATATAAAATGAGCAAATGTGCCCCCGCTTTAACAATTGTACAATATTTTTGTGTTACATTAGCATCATAATAATAAAACTGAATAACGTGTGCGTGTTTTCAATATTTTCCCCATCTATTCATATGTTTTACACTGGCATCACTATAAATGGATATTTCTCTCCTAACTTTATCCTCTCTTATCTTTACTGTTTATCCTACTTACTTCACGTGGACACAGTCCATAAAATGCCTCAGCTGCCCTCATCAGATATTCTGTAAGTGTTTTCTCTTGTTCATCTGTGAAGTCCTGATTTTCACTGTGGTAGCCTACATTCGGAGGTTCTCTTCTAACATCTTCCTCTTTTTGCAGAATCTGTACATGGTTACAGGGCAAATGCCAAACAATTTAACCGGTAACCAGACAGTTGATGTATAAAAAAAAAATACTATGGAAGTCAATGGGGTCCATCAACTGTATGGTTACCAACATTCTTCAAAATATCTTATTTTGTGTTCAGCAGAAGAAAGAAATTCATACAGGTTTGAAACAACTTGAGGGTGAGTAAATGATGACAGAATTTAAATTTTTAAGTTAACTATTCCTTTAACTTGTGCTTGTGAGAAACAGTCATTCTCCACGATGATTGGCGTAACGTGAGATGAGATGGAAGATATAAGCGTAACACTAGAGGTCGACTGATAGTGGATTTTACCGATTTAGGATTGACCGTACGTGCCGATAACCTATTAATCAACCCATATTTTTAAAATGGATACTGGATAAAAAAAACATAACACTCCAAGTAAAACAGTGCTGAACTGAAATGTGCTAAATGAAATAAATACATAAATATGAATATATTAAAATGAGAAGTTCTACAGAACGAATCCTACAGAAAATAATTTAAACATTAAAATAATACAGGTTTCTTTAGCTATAACCTAGAAACATAGGTAAATGGAATAGGTAACACTTTTCAAGTCCCATTTGTTAACAAGGATGTATTCACTAGCTTTCATGAACTATATGCATTATGCAATATACATTTTTGTATTACAGCATGAATTAATTTGAGCAAGACAATTGTACCTTGATCATTCATGTTATAGTACATTAACTAAGGTTAACAGATAAAATAAAAATTAAAACTCAATTTAAAATGTATTAGTAAATGTTGACATTAACAAACTAACAATGGACAATACTAGAACATTTATTAACCTTAGTTAATGCTAAAAATGTATTATCATTTCATATAAATCCAAAGAGTCTGCTATGCTTAAAGATGGCCATCTTTAAATATCTGCAAAGGCCAGAGCATTAAAATTGCATAATTACATGCATAGTCTCTCACTTTATTTGCTTCTATATTAGAACACTTGATGATTATCTAATCAAAATAACAATATTTATTGCAGTGATAAAAAATAATTGAATCGAATGCGTTTCTGATTGGTTTGTTTCTGTCGGCTACATGAACATATCAATTTTGAGAAAGCAATCACGTCACTAGCTTTAAATATGCAACTTCCCTGGCTAATGAATGCATACAAGTGACCAGCTGGATATAAACTAATGCAAATAGATGGTAACAATTGCAACATTAAACATGTGGGTCAGGTTTGCGTGTGTTTTTGGTCACATTGGTTAAACCGCTTGAGGTACTAATGTTAGAGTCCTCACAGCCTTGACGGCAAACATACATCTGTTCTTTCTCTGTTAATGTAGCATCTAGTCAACAAATTAATTACTTTATAATGATATGACAACATGGACTGTAGTGTTCTGTATTGTTTTGTGGTCTGGATCAGCACGCATTGTTCAACTGATAGAGTTAACAGTGCCATGGGAGGATGCTGTAGATGAGGCATATGAGAGGAAGAAACTGCGGTATGCTCATCTGGCCACTGAAGCAGAACAGCGAGGATGGAGAGTCCAGGTTTATCCAGTGGAAGTGGGTTGTCGAGGTTTTGTGGCACACTCTACAACCCGGTTCCTCAGAGACGTCGGATTCAGTGGCCAAGAGTTGCGTCGCACAGTAAAGAACTTATCTGAAGCAGCAGAGAGGAGCAGCAACTGGCTGTGGTTGAGACGGAAATATTCTGGCTGGCTGTGTATAGGCCGCCACGCTACGGTTTCGTAGAATTCTTGAAAAACTTGAAGAGTCTGTTGGTTTATTTGTATAGGTTGTATAGTATTTACAGTCATTACGTTCCTGTGTATATTGCGTGAATGACGGGTGGTTGGGCAGATATTGTGTTTTGCGGTAGGTGGTATGCCATACGGAACCGTTGCCACTGAAACTGCATTAACGCACCAGTGGGGCTCGACAGCCTTAGTCAAACGGGTTGGCGCGTATGGTTGGGTTGCGGAGAGATTGTGAGATTGTGGTTAGGTCTCAGCAGCAGGAGGGATGTAGAGGTCAGTAAGCTGGGCTGAGTTGAGTGGGGGACGGAGGGGGGTGACTCTGGGACGCCAGAGTCACTGTCGAGCTCTCTTGAGGTGTCGTGGGCTAGTCGACGAAACACTGAGGACGGAAGGTGCCCACTTGAAGACCCTAGAGATGTCCCCTACTCAATCCAGACAGTTGTCATGCTGGTCCACTAGGGAGACCACACTGTAGTTGCAGCCGTCGTGTGTGCTGACGCGCCAAGTACACTGCAGCCGTTAACGCCGGACAGAAGGGGAGTCACACCACCATATGGAAAGAAGCGTAAATGGATGGAGAAGCATAGTTTACTGTAAAGCTACGTCTTAGTGTTGCTTATCTTGGCGAAAGCAGAGTAAGTAAGTAAGTAAGTAAGTAAGTAAGGAAATCATTATTCATATCTTTTCGCTGTCAGTGTTTTAAATGCACATCTGAAGTGTCAGCCCTCTCTGTGCAGCGTGTTCTCTCTGTGCTGCGTGCAGCCTCACGTGTTACAATGACAGCACACTCTTCTCAGCCGCTCCAGCAATGGACGCAACCAGGAAAAACTATCGGTATGGAATTTTGCCGATAACGATAGTTCCACCAATCAACTATCGGTACAGAAATATCGGCAAAACCGATGAATCGGTTGACCTCTATGTAATACCACGTATTTCTCACAATCATGACCGTAGACGTAGGATCCACAGCTAGATCAATGTATAGAAGCCCTATGTTTACAACGACCATAATTTGAAGTGTCATAAAATTCGGAAATTATCGTACATTGTTTTTTTTTTTTATTATTGATCATACATCGTACAGAGGTCAAAATTATCATACAAATACGATAATTATCGTACGTCTGACAACACTGGTTGCTTAAAATGTGCATTTGAAAAAGCAACACGCATCAAACATTTTTCCAAACTTGAGAAGCATTTATGAACCTCTTGTCCAACAAAAGACAACATTTAATAAATCAAAGCATTTCAATCTTCTGTTTATTCAGCTACAGCGATAGTATGATGTCCATATGGATTTCAAGGAATGAGTGCGTTGTCTACTTCTAAAATAATCGCAGCCCTTGTCAAATCACGTGCGATTTCATTCGATTAATCGCGCAGCCCTATTTATTTAAAAAAAATTTTTTTTAAATGTATTACTATTTATTTCAAATTTTTCAAATATGAATTAAAAATAAAGATAAATTACATATATTATATATGTCCATCGGCCACCCTGCTCACCCGGCCATCAAAAAACAAATATAGGTTGACCACTAATTAATTATTAGGGATGCAACGGATCGCAGTTCGGCACGCATGTGATTAGCGGATTAACTGCTAAGTTTACCCATCATAGAGTGAAGGTTTTGGATGTGTTTGGACATGTTTCGTCTTAAAAACTTTCACATTCAAACGAATTTAAACGTGGAAGAAGAGTTGGAAATCGGGACTCGCGCACTGTTATCTGTGCGCACAGACAAAGAGAGAGAGA